AATCAGACTAAAAATACTTTAGTCTGATTCATAGTCAAAATCTGTTTCTAAATATTCTACACCTGATAACAATGACAAGGAATCATCAGAGTCACTCTCTTCACTACTGTCTGCACCAACAGATATAATAAATTTTTCAAGTTTGTTTTCAACAATGCCATCTTTTAATTTGTAATCATTTTCGACATTTAAAACATGATCAGTGTATTTCTTCCAGTCACTAGGGGTAATTAAGTTAAAACACTCTATTATTAAGTTTTCCATTTCCTTTCCTAGTATTCCAATGTTTCTGCTTGCAATTTTTCTTTTTGCTTGACTCCAAACCATCTCTATTGGGTTTAAGTCACAATGATACGGTGGCAGCAATAAAAGTTCATGATTATGTTCTTTTAAAATCTCTTCAGCTTCATATACAGGCAATGTTTTCTTATCATTAACCAAACACATTAACTCTGCCTTTGTCTGATATTCCTCAAAATGTATTCCATTATTTACAAGCCATTTACGGATATCTGCTTTGGTATTAGACATTATAGGCGGTTTATTGATTTGTTTTATATGGTAGCTGGCATTATCCATAACAATTACACTGGGCTTACTTAAATTTGGTATTAATTTTTCTCTGACCCATTTCATAAAGTTCGATGAGTTCATATCATCATGATAATCAGCAGATTTGGATTTACTACTGAACACTAATAATGCACCAGGCACAAAACCTTCCTCAGATCCAGCATGCACAACAATATGCCGTTTTCCAGAGGATATCTTTGTAGTGACACCAGTTGTTGAAGGTCCTTGCCAAGACTTTTTAACTTTATAATTCTGATGTACATAAGTTTCATCAAGGTACACAATTTGCTTTCCTTCGTTTCGTTTTATATTTATTTCTCTCAAATACTTGTGCCTCCATGCAGAAATCTGGTATTTTTCTATAAGCATAGAACGTTCATTTTCATTGCTTTTAAAAGAAAATCCATTCTTAAGCATAATTTTTCGTAAAGTCTCACGGCTACCACTGAATCCTATTGCATCTTTTAATTCATTGTGAAGGCTTCTTAATGTTGGAACAATTTTTTTCACACAGTAAAATTCATTTACTTTATTCCGAATTGCACTTAAATCAAAATTATCTAAAGCAGACACTGTTGGTTGATGAGGTCGTTTTTTCCCAGGAGTGTCCCATTTTCCTTTATTAATTAATGCTTCATTTTTTATCCTTCTTAGTGTCCTTATACTTACATCTATAAAAGATTAAACACTTTGAAACAAAGATATGTTAAATGTATTTAAAAGCAAATAATGATAGACACATACATCAAAATAATTTAAATACCTATTCAACTATGAATGCAATTTATGTTTAATTTAGTTAAGTTTATGTGCATATTTAGCATGTATAACAATTACATGGTTTGATTAGTTTCATGAATTCTGTGAATTTCCTTGTTAAACAAAACATTCTTATGACATCATTGGATGTCAACAATAAAAACCTATACATCATAAAAAACCTATGTAAATATTATAGGAATACTATCAATCTATCTTAAATCAAAACAAGAAAAGAGACCTGTCATTGAAGAAATTTTTTGTAAGTACTGCGTTTCCGAATTCAGCATTTCTTGTTTTTCTAAAGTTTTTATTGCATTTATCTCCTCCATTATTGGTTGAATATCACCATCACAGTTATCTGAAATAGAGCAATATTTTATAAAAAATATCTGTTTAGTTAATTACAGAAAATTAAAACGAAAGTATCAAAATTATAATACAAAACTAACCTAAAAAAGATACAACTTTATCTAATCGTTGTAATTTCTCCATGAAATTTTTATTTAATTCAGTTTTCACTTCAGTAAACTTGTCAATCATGATGGAAAGAAGTTTCCTCGATGAACTTTTTATCGGCTTCGACATAATTTTTAACCAAAAACACAAGTTCAAATTCGCAAAAACAACAAAATTCAATATTCTTGAATTGTCTAACGTAGTGTCAAACTGACAGTTCTATGTTGTTGCCATATGAAAACGGAAAAATAGGTGGTGTCACGTTTCGCTTGCCAAACTCTAGATATCCAGAATCTTAATAATTATTGATCGAAAACAAATATGTAAGCCAGCAGAGATATTTGACTTTGATCAGTAATTACTCAGATTCTGGATTTCAACACTTCAAAACAGTATTAGCAGAGTATAGATTTGTGCACCACTGCCGTCGTCGTTATTTAGAGGCTAGGTCGGCAGTACTGGATTTGGACTCATTTAGAGCATTCTGCAGTTCAACCTCACAATCTGCCATCCGGGTTTGTAATATTTCCATTAGGTGTGTCAGTGTGCTTTACTTATTTATTAGTAAGTTAAGCATAAGAAGTAAGATATTTTCCAATTTATTGCCAGTAACAAGTAGATAACACTCGAGCGTAAATTTTTCAACTGGGAGTGTTTTATTGTCAAACTTTCTTCACCAAACTACTCGCTGAAATTCGGTATTGGTTGATTCGGTATTTATCGGTACATTCTGTTTATTACAACATATTGGACCCTATTGTCCCTTATTACGGTACCTATGCAATACATCATAATTTTCAGATTTTTTAACGCAATGCCGGTAGTCTGAAAATTGATAATTTCTTTAAATATGTATAAGTTATTATAAAAACTTGTAGATAATTATTATTAATCAATAATTAATATATAACAAATAGTTTTATGAAACATTTGTTATCTAAGAGATAAATTTATGTAGCTAAAGTCACTCGGGATGATGTAACATTTGCAATGATACCTTATACATTAATATTTGTTAAGTTTTTTAAAAGTTATGGTGGAATAAAAAAAACCTCATATTCAAACATTAACCCTAAACACAAAACATTATTGTTTTGGCAGTCGTGTTAAAAATAAAATAGAGAAGGCCGATATAATTCTAGTACCAGTCCCAGAAGATTTCTTATCTCAAACTAGAATATCTATAAACTAGCTATTTTCACGCGACTTCGTTTGTGTAAACTGTAGCCTATGTCAACTGCGTATGGAGTATCTACCGTATCTATCGTATGTGAAAGAATGTTTTTAATCGGATCAGTAATCTTAATAAAAATTCTAAAAAGCAAATATAATAATCGGTCCAGCCTATTCGATGTAAAAAAATATAACCTTTAATTTTTATAATATTAAGTATAGATAAATAAACATTCAACAACATCATATACATGGCTCATATTCTTAGATGTGTATTTTGGAGTACTAAACCCCGTATTTTGGAGTATCTGTGACAACAAAGTTACCATAATACCCAGACCTCCCAGACCCCAGAAAATAAAGTTCAATATTTTTGGTTTTTTATTATTAAAATTTGTGTGAATAATTACACCTGCAGACTTATTTTAATCTATTCTGCCGATGTACGCTGTTGAGTGCAAAAAAACTATAACTGCAAGAACAAAGAATATATTTAAACTGACATAGTAACATTTAAAATTCGTAGCAAGTATAGAAATATAGGATTAATTTTTAAGCAATTTTTATTTAATAATAACATTAAATGTTTAAAACTTACACTATCAGTATCTAGTAGAAATTATGTATATTTTATTTTTCAAAATGTCCAGCTTATATTCCCAAACTAAAAAGGTTTTATATGGTTAATTAATATTTTATGAAACCAACAAAATAATTGAAAAGATATGAAGATAATGCATTTTATATATTTAAGGCATTGTTTTTCAAAGTATTTACTGCTTACTATTAACATACAATATCTTATAGTTTCAGGCTTCCATGAGCTTCAATCGAATTTTGAAGTTCAGTTTCATTTATCAATTAATTTTGAAGTTTATATTCATGTGATGGCAATCTAAAATATAAATACAATTATGAAAACACTTTTTTTAATTTCATATTTTAATTTGGAAAATCGAGGTCATCATTATGATAATAATATGATTGTCATATGGAATAAGAATATTATATGAAGAAAAAACACATTTAGACAAAAAATTTTGATAAAATTAGTTGTCTTATCTATTATAAGCTCAAACATTGCTAACCAAATACTTAGCATAATTTTTAGTGATTCTAAATACAAAAATGATATTCAATGAAGTCTAGAAGATGTAATTCAACATTACATTACAATAAATTAAGAGGTATTTTAATATAATCAAGCAAAACTTTACTGAGAGGCTTCAACAACAATTTTAGGTTACAAACTTGGATTCATTTTAATCAAAAGTTTTAAAATTGCCCCATTGTTTTTTCAATCGCATTTTATAGTTCTATGTACTTATAAAATAGTTGAGATTCAATCATTTTAACAGAATATTGATTTTTTTATTTTTAAAGCACTTTGAGGGGAGATTTTATGCACTTAGATATTCAATAAATTTTTTAGCTTGTTTTGTATCGTATTTAGTAAGATTCACATCTGTTATGGTAATGAGAAACTTTACCTTGACGAAGAAATAAACAAAATGCTTCTAACTTACCTGTGATATGATACACTAACAATATTTCTTTCGGATCTATTTTTGCAAGACATAATACTGCACTTAACCAATGTTTTAATTTGCAAGTAATGTCTCTTACATATTAACTTTATACATCATGTGAAACACTGTTTAAATACACTTCTTTCCAACTTTTTTTTGTATATTATTTGAGTCCAACAATTTCTATGCCGAAAATCTTGCCGTTTTGGTGCCAAGTAAGCCTGGTGCCAAACAAAAAAAACCAACCACATCGATAAGTACAACAAATAATGTTTTTATCTCACTTTAACTAATGAAAATGGTAATAAGTCATTTCATTTCCCGATGAATGAGATAGAACATACGATTAGTCTATTGTTTTCTCTGTCTACGGTTGCTGCCCCTGTATCAAAGAGTACTTTAGTCCCTGTATAGAATTACGCTCTATGGTATCTGCCATTATTTTATTTATTTTATAAATAATAAAAGATTTGGCTGTATGGCTTAGTTCCTTCGCCTGTCCCATGGACGAATTATAATACTACTACTTTGTATGATTACTGGACTCTGGCGAAATCCATAAGGGCATCGCCATTAATTAAAAAGAAGAAGAAGAGAAGGAATTAAAAATCGCCTAAATTCTCTTCGATTTTATCAATCCACGGTGTCTGATAATGAGTGAATTAGTTATAACCAGGATACATAGAAATAACGTTGTCGAAAATAATTACGAAAATTGTACTATTGAAACTATCGAGAAGTCTATTTGTTACAATGACTTTTTTGAAAAGTTTATGATGAAAAATTTACCATGTATAATCAAAGAAGTTAGCGTAAATTGGGAGTGTGCAAAAAAATGGGTAAATAATGACACTATTGATTATAATTACATTTCCGATGCCTATGGAGATTTCGAAGCTCCTGTAGCTAATTGTAAGAATGTAGCTTACAATGCACATTGTAAAAATAATATGAAGGTATCTGAGTACATGGCTTATTTGAAAATAAAGTCTGATCAATTACTTTATTTGAAAGACTGGCATTTGAGACGATTAAAGCCGTTAGACAGTTTTTATGAAGTTCCTATGCTGTTTGCATCTGACTGGCTTAATGAATTTTGTGAGGATCAGCATGAAGATGATTTTATGTTTGTCTACATTGGACCTAAATGCTCATGGTTAGTTAATGATTTTTATTGTTTATTGTATATGTAAATGGGTAAGCAATTTTCTGTAATTTGAAATTGGAATGTACCTCATATTCTCGTTTGGTATAATTTTTATGGTGTTGATAGTTGCTATAGTACAGAAGGAGCAAACATGTGGCTATTAGAAGGATTATTTGTGGCTCTTGATAAATGTGCCTGAGTTCCCGTTTCTTTTACAATCTCGTGTTTAAAAAAAAATATTATAGTTCCCTATGTGGAGTAAAATGCCTTTTAAATTACTGACATCAATTATGGAAGACTAGGTGCAACATTGAAACTTTTAATAAAAGAAAAATCATAAAAACTTTCATAAAAATATTATTATAATTTTTAGGAAACTTATCTGAAAAATATTATGCTATGTATAGAAAATTACATGTCTGCACATTATGTCTGACAAATTTACAGTATCAGCTACATGTTAGGTAAAAAAAATATCAATCAAATTAATATTAATACCCAGCTCTGACTGGTACATTTTTAACTCACCTGAAAAAGTTCTTATTTCCTTTTTTTATGGTTGACATGTTTTTTCAACATCTTTCATAATTAAAGTCATACCTCAACCAATTTATACAAATCTTTAATGAATTTTACACCAGTGTTTCTTCAGTCACTCTTACCATTTGCGTTATTAAAATTGTTTGTATGATTTGAGTTTAAGTTTATAGAATATTGTGTAAGTTTATGTAGCTCTATACAATATAAGTATATTGCATTGCAGGACGCCACTGCATGCAGATGTATATTGTTCATATAGTTGGTCTGTAAATGTGGTAGGAAGAAAGAAGTGGATATTATTTCCACCTGGCGAAGAAAAAAAACTGAAAGATAAACTAGGTAATTTACCAATGCTCTTTGATAGTGAAATACACAAAGGTATAAAGTATTTTGAAATCACACAAGAAAAAGGTGATGCCATATTTATACCCTCTGGTTGGTTCCATCAAGTTCTCAATATTTTTGACACAATATCCATCAATCACAATTGGATTAATGGATGTAATATAAAAAAAGTATGGGAGACACTTGAAACACAACTAATTTCTGTAGAAAATGAAATTGCTGAATTCAGAACTTCTGAAGATTTCACATTGCAGTGCCAATTAATCTTAAAGTCAGTTTTCGGTATGGACTTTAAAATGTTTATAGCTTTCATTTGCCATATTGGTAAAAAGAGGTTACTGCAAATAGAAAGTAAGCAATCTAGAGTATTTGGGAAATACATTTTGGGAATAAATCATATTAAGTTTGACTTAAACAATGTTATTTGTGTGATGGATTTAATAGCAAATCACTCCCTTTTTATTGATAGTAACGTAATACCATTACAAATGCAAAAAGATTTTTTTGCACTAAAGGAACTATTAGTAAAAAATAATATTTCTAATAACCAAGATCAAGATATTAGCACACCCAATTCCTAAAACCACAATGATTTTGTAAAGCTCATACAAAATAATACAATAGATTAAACCTATTATAAACTTGATCTTTTATATGTATTTACAATGCCGTTTCTTAAAAGTATTTCAATTTCCTTTTTACTATAACCTAATTCTTGCAATATTGGCTCAGTATGTTGTCCATACCAACTAGCTTTCACCTGACCAGCTGATATCCCTGGAGTTCTACTGAATCTTGGTTGTGGTTGAGGTATGATTATATTGTTCTCATCTTTGAGTATTGTTTTTTTTACTTTATGGTATTCATGTTCATTCAAAGACTCGACTTCTAAAACTGGAGTTACACAAGCATCTAAATTATCAAATATTTGGCACCATTCCTCTTGGGTTTTGGTCAAAAATATTTCTGCAAATTTATTATGATTGTCTGAATTATTAAATTGATTATATTCTTCAGGAGAGAGTTGAAGTCCCTTGAGAAAGTTTGCATAAAATTGTGGCTCTAAAGCACCAACAGCCATAAATTTTCCATCTTTTGTTTTGTATGTTTTATAAGCAGCAAATCCACCATCCAAAAGATTGGTGCCTGGTTCTCCTCCCCATATTGGTAAAAATCTTGACCTAAATATCCATGAAGAGATATACATTAAACCATCTGTCATTGCAGAATCTATAATTTGACCTTTTCCAGACTTAGTTCTTTCATACAAAGCTAAAACAATTCCAAAGGCACAAAGAACGCTGCCTCCTGCGAAATCAGCTAGTATGTTCAATGGTGCTACTGGTGGTTCACCATTCCTTGATAAGAGAGAGAGTATTCCAGACATAGCTCCATAATTTATATCATGGCCTGCTTTATCTTTGTACGGTCCTATTTGTCCATAACCTGTCAACCTAGCATAAATTAAACGTGAATTAAGTTTTGCAATAGAATCTGGACCCAGTCCCAAATTTTCCATAACTCCGGGTCTGCATGTATCCAGAAATACATCAGCCGAGGTACACATTTTCTTTACTATTTCAATACCTTCTTTGGTCTTCATATCAATAGATATACTTTTCTTTCCATTATTTAACACATCGAAAGGTAATGGTTCTAGCTGTAAAAGAAAAAAATAGTTTATATTAGAAGATATTATTTGTCATACATGACGTCTTGTCTCTCTCAAAAAACAGCGAATAAATAAATAAATAATTTGATAACCACTAGCTTAAAAAGAAGACATTGCCATAATGAGAAATACGGCACCCATGGGTGTAGGAAGGTAGGATGGACATGCCCGCCTATTGCCCGAATAATATTAGTTATTTTTAAATAATTTGATTCAATAAATGTAAACGTTGCCATAAAGTATAATTTTTTTTTATTAAGAATGTGTCCAATGTATTGGATCCGAAATATCAATAAAACTAAATACAAATGCGATGAAACCGTTTAAAAGTTTTTTCATTTAGTCATTCCAAAGTTAAAGAATTGCTCGTTAAAAACAACAAAGATTATTTTCGAGACAAACAAGTTAGGTATATATTAACGCATTAATCTCGTCTCATTCAGCGTCCCTTGATCTCTGAACCCTTGTCTCATTGTAATAAGTAATAAGACATCAAAACAGAAAGAAAATGCTTACTGAAAAGGCACTCAAGCAACTCGGTGAAATTAATTAGATGTTAATGAAATCTTAAGAATTTATAGTATAAAAACAATGGCGGATTGACTGAACATCTATCCTGTAAGCTCTCCCGGAAACGGAAAAGTAGTTTATTAAATTTAAGTCCACCATTTATTCCTTTGTTTTATATAAAGCTAAGCCAAAAAAGAAGTTATTTTGTAACGTCGTCGGATCGTCTGCTAACTCGAAGTTTGCTTTTTAAGTAAGATAAATGAATGAGCGGTTACTTGTATTTTTAAAAAGTTTATAGTAAGTTACTAATACCATAGTTACCTTACTAATCACTGTTACATCAGCGCCAAAGTCAGCTAAAATAGCTCCACAAAATGGCCCTGGAGCTAATCCTTGTATTTCGATGACCTTAACTCCCTTGAGCGCCATATCAACGAATCTATTAATAATAAAAAATACACTAAGCGGATAGAGATACTGTATTTATGGAATTTTCTCTTCGTCTGTTATTTTTTGTCGCAAACTTAATAAGTTAGATAGCATGAAGTTGAACAATTTGAACTAGTAAAGGCCCCTGATTGGCCTATTTATACAGGCTCGGATCTGGGGAGGGGTATCAAGTGGGAGCACTTGCTCCGAGCGCCACTATTAGGGGGCGCCAAAATCATCATAATATAATATTATTTCAATGCAGTTGCTCATAAAGCGCTATTTTTTTAATCCATTGTAAACACCGAAAGAGAGTCTTTAAACACGTGTTAAATAAAAATGCACTGAAATCCTTTACTGCACACGTGCTTAAAAGTATTTTTTTAACTTTTTTTGGCCGAGCACCAAAGAAATTTATTAAACTTTATGAAAATATGTCAAACTTTAGAGGCAAAAGTATTTCAAGGAGCCTAGAACGAATATTTTCTAATAAAAATGTATGACACGAAAACATGTTCAAATATCACGTTTAATTTTAACAAATAATTTTTACCTTTAATACATACTTAGTTTTATTAATCTATATATTTGTTTTATTTCCTCGCAAAATTCGTGCCAATGACAAAACGATCAACCTCATCAAGTATGAACGCGTTTTATTTGACTCGATAATGACAATAATGACTGGTGCGAGACAATATCCAGTGTCGGATGTTGACCAAATTAGAAGGTTCATGGGAACTTTGTAATTAAATAACAACCCACACTCAAAAGCTATCACGAAAAAGTTCTAATTTAATAAAATATAGATAGAAAATAACCGCCTTTTTAGAAGGTATTTAAAAAATGATAAAATTTATGTACAATCGACTGCACCTGGAGTACAGCCGTAAACTAAAATATGTCAGATGTTTGTAATTGATTTTATACTCTGCCCACAAAACATTAAGTTGTAAAATTAAATGAAGAAATTTTAGAACTTTATATAAACTAACGTGCTATTAACTGTACTTACCATCGAAAATTAAAACAAATGAATGTTAAGTTGATATTTACAAAATAATTTTAGTTTTAGTATTTGACAATATTAAATGAACTCAACACAACCAAACAAGAATAAGAACTGTTGCTTGAATAAGTATGAATATTAATGAAAATACATAAGTATATGTATTGTGTTATAAGCGCGATAACAGCAGGTAGCAAACTGATGAATTATTTATTATTACAAAATAGTTAACACAGGTACACATGGCTGCACGTCAGATTACCCCAATACGTCAAATTCCTGCAATGTAAACCATTGCTACCTTCAATGTGTTAAGGTTTAAAATCGAGTGGGGAAATTTGATAGGTAAAGTCTGACGTGCAGCTGACTGTATAATACAGGACCACGCGGGCGACGCCGCTGGTGGAAAGTTAGTGACATATAAAATTGATAGCAGCCATGAGGCCCTCGACATCGCAGTGGTTAGTACATTCGGTCTACAATGCGGAGGTTAAACAACTTCCGCAAGGGTCGGTTTTGACGAAGGATGAGTGACCAAAATTTATATTAGTGTTCCGGCTGCATCTGTCGACACCCGCCATTCCGCAATAGGCCCGCGTCGTGGGTCATGCATGGCATAGCAATTCACCTTATTTGTTTCCATTCATAGAGAAGTCCTCAGCAGTGGGGGCATTAAAAGTAAGATGTGCAGATGAATATGTATAAAATAAGGAGTAGTAATGAGATACTATTGCTACTGCCCATAAAGTACGCCACAACTCACACTTACGTATTCTATTTTTTATAGTCCGGAAAAGCAATTTAACTTAACATATTAATTAGTATTGTTTATTTTAACACACATAATTAGTTTTGCCATAAATATTGTTACATAGAAAATCAACTTTTTTTTTATAGAACGTAACATTTATTACATACTAGTGGACGCCCGCGACTTCGTCCGCGTGGAAGTCGGTATCCCGTGGGAGTGAGAAGTTTTCCCAGTAAAAAGTACCCTATGTGTTATTCTGATGTATAACCTATATTGCTGTAAAGTTTTATCCAAATCCGTCCAGTAGTTTTTTCGTGAAAGAGTAACAAACATCCATACATCCATACTTACAAACTTTCGCCTTTATAATATTAATAGGATAGGATAGGATAGGATAGCTTATTCGAAGTTGTCTCCATTGGCTGCAATACAGTACTTTAAACGTTGAAGCCAGTTAAATATAGACGCACGCACTTTCCATGGGACGATTCTTAAATGCCAATCGTATGGACTGTATTAGGGACTCCAAATTATCATGGCCTTTAGAGCAAGCCGTACTCTCAAAAATTTACCATAAATCATAATCTAGCGGATTAAGATCTGGACTAGATGACGGCCAGTCTTGAGCTCTGAAGTCCGCTACGTAGGTACTATTCGTCTTTTAAAAAAAAAACACAATTACTATTCCTACTTTTATTAGGATAACCAACACACTGATTCCTAGATCCCGAAACGTAAAGAGCTAATGAGGACTGCTCTTCGCGGTTGCTAATGCCGAACTGACTTTAAAATATTAAAATTATTATAATAATGGAATATGCAATCTTGCACTTTTCATTTAGAGGGTTTCTATGGAAAAGTACTGAACTTGTTGTCAGCTATTCTCAAGTACAATGTTGGGTTATAACAGCCCCCCCCCCCCTTTTGACGGAGCTTTATCTAAATTAAGATGAAGCGGCGTTAAAAAAAATATTAATATTATTTCAGGATCTAGAAAATTATAAAACATTACATTTGTAAAAACAGTAAAGTTAAAATATGTAAAGAATTACAATTTTATTTTGTACGCTTATTATTTTTAACATTACAATTTTCTAATTAGAAAGATTTAGGATAATATAAAATAATAATAAGATTTAGTAACATTGTATAATATTACAATAGTTAAGATATTTAAAAATCACATTTTTTTTATAGTTATTTATTATCTTTACGATAACAGTTTAAAATTAAAAGATTAAGTACAATACTTATTTCATCTATGCTAGTTACAAAATATCGTTTTATGATAACATGTGAAATAAGATAAGTCTAACATACTACTAAGAACATGAGAATCAACTAAAACATTAAAAGTATACTTTTTAAAATAGGTAAGTACATACTAGAATCAGACACAATTTTTTTATTTTAAGTTATAAATCAATTGTTTAAAATTCTGTTGGATGGATATGATTTAATTACATCTTCATTATCAGAATGAGATGACATCTGGGACATCTCAATCGAATTTGTTACATCGGTTTTAACTTTTTTCTTAATATTACACTGGTTAAATATTTGAATACAACAACTAGTATGATTCCGTTTCTTACTTATGCAACTATACAATTTCTAGCCTATATATAAAAACATAATAACTATAAGAAAGTAAGTAAAGGCAGAATAATAGCTACCGTATTTATAAAAATGAGATTCACTTTGGAATCTGTTAAGATTATTCTCAAGATCGTCCAAATGACGAGATGCATGGGGTAACGATTCTAAGTCAATATTATTTAAAGAAATAGGCGACAGTAATGGAATTGTTTTATTGACAATATCTTTCTCACAACAATCATCTTGGGTGATGTCGAAGTCTATGATTATATTATTTTTATAATTTGATGTAATTTCAGTTGATGGGAAAAAAGATATTGCATTATCGCAATTTGTAAGGAAAGCAGGAAGTGAATCTCGATCGCCATTGTAGGGGCGTATGAATTTTGAAAGAAAACTTATTGTAACCTTTGAAGTAGGTTCGTCTTTGACGGACATTGTGATAAGAAAAGGATTAGGAAAATTCACAAATATAGACTATTTATAGAGTAAAATATTAAGATAAAATTTTGGACACTCACAGTAATATGGTATTCACCTTCACTATCATTAGCACTTATTTGTTGCACGTGGTTGGAGGCTCGCGCTACTTAGCACGGGCGGCGATGAAGACGGAGGGTGGAGACGCGCGGCGGGCAGCGGTGCGGTTCTCACGGCGACAGGGAAATTTGAGACGCACGTGGATATTCCACGTGGTTGAAGATGGTAAAAATGAGTTGGCAGCTGGGCTGGTGCGGGCTCACGATCTACAGCGGAGACTAACCGTCGACCTCTCTAGGATGCTCGGTGTCGGTGTTCTGATGTGGTGGTGCGGGCTCACGCTACAGAGCGGAGGCTGATCGTCGACCTTGTGGTGTCGCGGCTGATGCAGGCTCAGACTTGGCTGAGACTTAATGTCGATCACTTCGCGAAATTAGACGAGAATAGGGGCCTTAGATTCAGATGCACGGACTTCAACGGAAGCCACTTACAGCATCCCACTTCTGACACCAATTGTTTTGCGGCTCGCTCTATTCGTCTTTTTAAAAAAAAACCACAATTACTATTCCTACTTTTATTAGGATAACCAACACACTGATTCCTAGATCCCGAAACGTAAAGAGCTAATGAGGACTGCTCTTCGCGGTTGCTAATGCCGAACTGACTTTAAAATATTAAAATTATTATAATAATGGAATATGCAATCTTGCACTTTTCATTTACAGGGTTTCTATTGAAAAGTACTGAACGTGTTGTCAGCTATTCTCAAGTACAATGTTGGGTTATAACAGTACGATTCAGCTTTATGACATGGCACAGTCCTGCTGAAAGGACCATTTTTGGTTATTGAACATGGTTTCGTAAAAGGGCTTAACTACTTTCTCGTTAATGGTATCTGTATACACTTGACCTGTTGTTATGATCCATTTTTAACGAAAATATGGCTCGGTCACTCTTTCATGAATAACACCCCACCAAACCATCACTGAAGTCGTATAATGGCCATGTTGTACTCTGTTGACTAATCGTGAAGTCCTCTAGAGCTTTGATTATAAATACGGGTTTTTTTTGGAAAAAATATGGCTCAATTGTAAAAAAAATCTTTAAAATCAAACTAATTAAGATTTTACCATCCTATTATTTTTTTAATCAATTTCAAGAAAAAAGGAGGTTTCCGGGTTTGACCTGTTTGTATGTTATCTCGCGTTTGGCTAAACCGATATTGATGCGGTTTTCAGCATAATATTTTTAAATTATCTGTTAAGATATTAGAATTTTGATGATTTTTTTTTCTAACAGTATTAAAGGCCGTAATTAGTATACAAATGTCCTAAGAAGTACCTAGGTTTACCACATTTTTCGTAGACTGAACCGTCTCATTGTCAAACATGACATGAAAAACTCACAAAATTATTAACATTAGATATATGATTAAGGAAAACAAAATATAAGAGTGTTACAGGCAATAGTTTCGCCATGTTTATTTTAATGCGATTGAAATTGTTTTCGTCGATATTTGTTGACTACATAAATCATTCCAAATAATTGACATAAGTTACCTTTTCATTTAAACTATATTTAGCAAATAAAGTATTACCAATTGTAACTTAGTATTTACTGTATATTTGTGCATTTGTTTAATAAATAACATTTTTTTTATGTTCGAGTATAATTTTAAAGACATTCTCAGCGACATAAAATAAGTTTGCTCTACTGGCAGCCCTTTGACCACTTTTGTGCACACACTTTGTGTGCGTGTCTCTCTTCGAGGAAGAAAAGTAGATATTGAGGATCGAATTGTTTGTAGGCGTATTTAGTGATTTTTTACCGAATATAAACTCAAATACGAATTCCGGTGATACGCTCGACAGATCTTCCGTCAGATGAGCACCGATCATAAGGGGTTGGCTACGTAGCCACAATTTTAAGTTGTTCTTTTATAGTTTGCCACATTGGGTAAACCACAACCCAATAATACTGAATAAAAAGGTTAGTATATTATTAATATTCTCATACGACAATACGTTTTTATTATTGAAAAACCAATATTAAAAACGTATTGTCATAAGAGAAAATTGAAATATATTCATTCTATTAAACCGACAATCCAATGTAGCAAACTATTAAAGAACATCTTGAAGTTGTGGTCACCTCTAGGAACCCCCTTAAGATACGCAATTGATTACGATCCGTCGAACGTATAAGAAACTTAATGCAACAACTAGTTATGATCTACGCAACCGGAATAAACTGACAACTTTTAAATAGAAAAAGGTTAAACTTTAACTTTTTCTATTTACTTTATTTAAAAAATAAGTTTTAAAACTATAACCCGACTTCATCTAAATCACACTCTAAAAAGTTTGAAACAAGAAATTTATTTTATAGCGATAGCTATATTATAATAGCGATGACCAAAGGACAGCGTAGTCGTATGCCATAAGTTTTTGTTATGACTCATTTGATATCCTCCACGGAATTATCGATATTTTTTTGTAGATTCTTACTTTATGCCTACTAGAAGGCGCGGTCGCCAATTTAATATAACATCACATATTCTATAGCACGCGGACAGCTAAGACGCTTCTAATAATACCGCATTTGTCCAGTTACGTTGAGTACTGCCGGCCGAAATCATAACCCTCCTTTTCGCTTCGACGTAGTCGGGTAAAAGAGGAAATACAGTAATATTATAAAGAACAATGTCTTCTCCTTCGGTGGAATCCATATTGACAATAATTTCTTTAAATATAATTAATTATATATCTACTTGTGGAATGCATTATATAAGTAAATGTCGAAAATCTACAACTAAATACTGTTGCTTGATATCAAATTCTCTTTCATTTTTCCAAATAAATTTTTTTTTCGTTGTTTATGTTATACACCAGCAGACATAGGATCTAATGACCTAATGTAGTTTATGGACGCAACGCTAAAGGTACCCTTGTAACAAGCACCTACCACACTACCCGTGATCTAATACGATCCAAATTTTGACGCTGTCACTCACGTATGCAAGTGCCTTTACGTCTTCACAGAGAATCAAAATATAAAAACAAAGAGCGGAGCATTGAATGTACTTTTTGACTGAATTTTATGTTATGAAATGATTACGGAATTACTACAAAATAGGATTTAAGTAAAAATGCAATAATACCTCCGACAGTTCGACATTATAACACCTTTGGGATACGCACACGAAGCACACAACAAATTATTTATATAATGTTAAATACCTTGGGATATTTTTTTATCTTTGGCCGGAGCACACTTCATTCATTATCTCAGACATTTTTTAGGGATTCCGATCTCCATTCGATTTTATCGAAAATCGATTCTTTTGATTTGTATTTCCGATTTTTGGTATCGATATTTACTATCCAGACCGATTGAAATTGAAAACAATAGCTTTCTTTTAACAAATATACATGGGGGCTATTTTAAATAGTTATGTTATACAGCTGGGTATTTGTTAATCCAAAAGTGTTATTATACTACCAAATCGTAAAAGGGGAAGAAACCCTTATTCCATAGCTCTTTGTAAACTATCATTAATAGGTAGTTAGATAGAGGAGACCAGGAGCTCTATTTTTGATTCACTCATGTAAAATCTCTTTGCTATGTACGACCTAAGTCACGCTCGATTTCTAAGTTGTATGGCACCGTTTTTTACTTTTTAATGGTTCGTCTGCAGAGTTGCCAACATGATTCAAAATATTGAATTTTGTTCTTTGTATTTTATAAATACTTTACCATTTAGATAAACAGCGCTATCTCTTTACTCGGTGTTGAACCGTCTTGCAGTTCGTCTTGCTATCAATTATTGTGGCTATGTAGTGCAATGTGTTAGATGTTTCTACGTATCAATCGTCACAAAGCTTTGATGTCCACCGGACTAATCTTCCCGACGGTGACTTTAAGGTAAGTAACCATTTTAAAGGCTAATGGTCACTTCCTAATATTATATCAAGACTTTCGATAGAACCTCTAAAACGTCCAACAGCCCAAGCCACCGCAAGCGCTTCACGAAAGCGTCTCTCTTTTTCTCCTCATTGTAATAAAACTGCACCTTATGTATAACTGCTAGCGTCCATCCGTCCATAATAAAAACGGTTTTTTATAATCAGACTGAATCAGTACAGGAGATGACGACAAACGCCTTTTACGCTCTTCGAACACGCGAGTTTGATCTCGACTGCAATACCATGATTGATTTTTTTTAACAGGTGCGTTAGCGGCTTTGTGACAGCAGAAAAATTCGGCACAAATTTCATAAGCCGAGAACATGCCTGGATAAAGGTTCTAAGATGATGTAACGAAGACAGTGGTTTTATTACTATCACAGCACTTACTTTATTTCCATCAAGTGTTACTATTATATAATTTTGAAATGTTGCTATATAATAAAGAGGAAAGATTTGATTGCTCCTTTGTATCTAATGAAATCTGAAACTACTGAACCGGAACCGGAAAACCTCCACTAGATGGCGACTCTAGCAAAAGTTGATTTTTGTAGGAAACGAATGAACCAACGACAGTCATTTCCGTTCCTTTACTGAATAATACAAATTGAAGATTAAAACTGAAGAAATACAAATAGAATATGAGTTTTTTATTGAGTTTTGAAAATTAATTCACTTTTAAACACGAAAGAAAACCGGAAGAGTTGTCATGGAGAAATCAAGAACGTACAGTAGCGACATCTAGTTTGATTTCGGGAACTAATATTGTTTTTAAATACTTCCTATTTGAAAAAAAAAACTGGCATACATTATTAACAAAGGAATAAAGTCGAACAGCCATTTCGTCTCCTCAATATTATTGTGACTAATTATTATTACCGAAAATTTTTAAATTATATTTTTAAAAGGTTTTCATGTATCTATGTGGTATTTCTACGATATCTTTATTGAATTAATTACATCGATATGTTGAAAAATATCGACTATAATCGATATATCTAAATTATATGATGAATCGAATGGTAAATATTGATGTTTTGCGATCATTGATAGATAAAACATTGATGTTTTCGAGCATCTCTAATTCAAACTCGACTACTAAATCGATTTGACACATCACTAAGGTGTCTGTGTTCGACAGTTTGGTATTTACCTACTTAGTCTGTGGTATTTACTAATTAACCGTAAAGTGTAGCTATTACGAGATTTTCTTTGATTGTGAAATAGAATATCATTGCTATTAATACGTATATTTTTAAGACGGTATTTTGGTTTCTCATATATAAGTATATAGTTGACTTTTAAATTTTCACTGAAAATGTCCGTTGCATTTGCACCTCGAGGGAACCGACCTCCATTGAATCCGGCTCAAATTCAGAAGATGTTGGATGAAAATGCTCATCTTATACAAACTATTCAAGATTATCAGGCGAAAGGACAGTTGATGGAGTGTCATCAATATCAACAGATGCTGCACAGAAATTTAGTATATCTTGCTTCTATTGCAGATGCTACTCAAAATATTCAAGCGCTTTTACCGGTAATTATAGTAACTAAGCTTATTGCCTCTAGGAAAAGTATCCCACTCACTATGGAAACTAAAATTTTAAACGTTATATCATCATTCATAATTTGATCTTAAATCTGGGTCAGAAAAATATGTTGGTGTGGCAAAAGAAGCTCAAAAATACTTCATTTCATTTCTTAGTTGTGGTAGAGTTTTTCAGCAAGCAAAATGTGTAGATACAAATTCACAAAGCAGAGTGTCCAAAGTAGTTGAGGAAAATTTGAGTTGAGAAATTGGAAATGTGATGACATGCTTTTTTGATTGTGTTATTTGTTAGAATGAATGAACAGAAACTTATTCCTTTTCTCATAACTATTTTTTTGAAATTTATAGTTAACTCTTTAACCATCAGGATTTATATCAGTTGTGGTGACCTCAGCACCAAGCACAGTAAATAAAACATAATAAAAATTAATACCTATAAAGAATAGATGTAGACTGATTAACCATACTAGTGTCACACTCAATAGAGAATGAGTTGTTATTTATTTTATATTATTAATAGGTATTTTAGTAACTTAATGATACAAATCATTAAAAGAGCTTGACAGTTTTATTGACTTCTGAACAATAACAGTAATGATACTTTATTTGTTTTATTATAAATGATTAGTCAGTATAAACAAATGAGCAAATTTTTGCTTACTTAGATTTTCCTACATTGGCATTGGACATCAATACAATTTTCTAAGAATAATATTATTAATTCAAATAGCTTTAGGTATTGTCCAGTCTTCTAATAAAGAGACTAAAATGTAATCAATTGTATATGATTATATTATCAAATATTTACCAAATTATTTTAAAATAATGCAGTGTTGTATGGCAATTACAATTAAATTAATGGTATTTGGTTGTAAAATACACACTTTGTGAAATAAATAAGAAAATATTAATTGAATCTAACAGTTTATTGAACCTTAAAAAAATTTTCAAAACATCAATATTTATCATGATAATGGTATACCATATCCATAGAGATTTTCCTTTATTATAAGTATCCTTGGTTTCAATACACAATACATAATCTAGTTTAAATGCTAAGCGTTTAATGCTATCTTCTGCTGTCATAGAACATCAATGTAACTATTGTGGAATGGCATGTGTGTAACTGCAGGTATCAATTTTCAGTAGACAGGATTTGACTATTATTTTATGGTTCACTATTGAATACTTAAATTTAGTGTTGTTGTGGTTTTCTGTTTCAGCCACCACATGCATTAGCTTCAGGAAATGTGCCACAGGTGCCACTAAATCCTCCTTCTACTGGAGGTGAATCATCACAGCAACAATACAGACCTCCTCCTGGAGTATCAACCACTCCAACCAGACCAACTCAGAGTTATGGTCAAAGGCCATATGGTCAAAATCAATATCAAGGTCAATATCAAGGTACACCTAATGTTTACCCACCACAAGCAGGCTATGGTCCACCTGGTCCAGGGTATGGTCCACCAAACCCTCCACAATCACAAGGATATCCTCCAAATTCTACATATGGGCCACCAAGTACAACAGCCCCTAATAACTATCCACCATCTACCCATCCAGGCTCAGGGTATCCACCATCAACAGTTCAACAGCCATATGCACCTCCTGCTAGTCCTGCTGGTGCAGGTTCCCCTTATCCCATTCGTGCAGCTGCTCAACCAGGTTATACAGGAAATTCAGCATATCCTCCTCAGTCTGGTGCTAACTATCCTAATGTTGGTGTCAGTACATATAATTCTACAGCTTCCCAACAGCAGTCATATCAGTCACAACCATTTCCTAACACCACACCAACTTACAGCTCAACACCCACATCACAGCCCAATAGGTCACCTCAACCTCCTGCAAGTGGATATACTTCACAAAATCCAACTAATTCAGGGTATGGTTCTCCTTCAGCTCAGTCACCTACATATAATTCTAGTTCTCATCCAAGTTCAGCTCCACCTTCAACAGGAGCATCATCAACCCCTGCTCCTGGAGGACCTCCTTCACAGCAGTACCCTCCTCCAGGGCAACCATCCCCCTATCCACCAGCTAGTCAACCACCTTATTCTAATCCTTCATCTCAACCAGGTAGTCCAGCACCATCTGTGTCAACATCAGCACCGCCACAGGGATCTTATCCTCAAAATCCCCAAAATTATCCACCAACCGGCGGAGCCTATCCATCTCATGCTTATCAGCAAGGTTATCCACCTACACAATACCCACCATCTCCTTATCCATATGCCAGACCTCCAGCTCCAGGTGCCCCACCACCAGGAGCGCCACAGCCGTATCCTGGTTATGGATTTCAGCCACCTAATCAACAGTAAGAAATTTAATGTAAAAATAAGTTGAAGATTGTTAATATGTGCAGTCTAGGGCAAGAATATGTGTATGTTTATGACAGTTAAGGCACTATATTGCAAAATAAAGGATACCAAATATCAAAATTGTATACATGTTTGAGATGCGAATCTGTGACTATTATAATATAGAAAGTTTATAAAGACATTTAAATGATTGTAACAAAATAATTGTGAGTATGTAAACCTTTTGACGACCACGAAAACATATGCCAACTCATCTACACATATTTTGTGAAGACTGTCCGTCATATAAAACAAGGACTAACTTTATAAACTATTATCCCATTATTCAAGTTAACACTGTTCAATTTGACTGTTCCTCTTCTATCAATGTCCATTTGACTTTTCCTTATCTGTCATTGTCCATTTTTTAAGGCTTCAATGGTTTAAACAAACCAAGTATCAACTTTATTCTTGTTTTATAATAAGACGGAATGTGTCCTCACAGATCATTTGCGTTATTTTAGCTTTAGCTGCAATATTGGTAATGCTGACCGTATTCAGTAATTAAGATTTCCATGTACAGTTCTTTTGACATACTGTATTTTGTTTGTGGTTTTCCCATTTATATCAGTCCATAATGCATTTATGTTATACTAGTTATTTTACCGCGACTTCGCTCATTATAGCGTTTGTTAGCAGCGTATGATGGAGCTTTCCGTGAGTGAAATAATGAGTAGTTTTTAAAATCGTTCAATAATACTAAAGGCAAAATTTTTCGAACATATGCCTTTACATACCGATAACATGTCTGTGACCATGTCCTTCACTAAAAAGTGAACAGAGAAATTTCGAGTTGCACTGAGCAATGGCGTAGCGTGGGTGTCTGCCGCCCAGGGCGGAAGACAATTTTGCTGCCCCTCTTAATTAAGTTATGTATTTTATATGGGTAATTATACTATACATTTATTTAAAAGAATTTTTCGGCATGAACTTTCATCATTATTTTGCATTATACAGGTTAGATTTTGACTGCACTGTTGGTCGAGTGGCTTAGTTGTCGCCATACAACTGCTCATGGATCGAGTGTTGTGGTTCTATCTCCACAAAGGACAATTTTTCGTGTGATTTACAAGTAATTGTTCTTAGTCTGGATGTACTTTGTCCCTCGCAACACAAGACATGTATCCTAAAAAGCGGGCTTGTCTTTTAAAAAACACAAAAAAAATTGAAATAAAAAAAAAATGAACTAAACAACTGATGATCCATGAATAAAACTTTTTTTTTAAATTGTCAAATCATCACGTACCTTCTTAAAGGGACGTAATAAACAATGTTGAAATTAATATATATGTAATAGAAGTCATTTTTGCTGATTATAAGTCATAAACAATCCAAGCACAAAATACAATACAGTCAGTTTAGATGGTTTTACCATTCGCTCCAAATATCTTTTACAGGAGTATTCTCCGAATTCGTTACAGAATAAGTAATGAAAAATCCGTGCTGTTTTCATTCGGTCCGAATTTATAGTTGCGTTAAAAATATGAATTCGTCCAAATATTTATAAAATATATGTTACTTTTTACTGTGATAAAAAGTAACATATATTTTATATATGTATATAAAATATATGTTACTTTTTATCACAGTAAACTACTGTTACTTTTTTATATATGTTACTTTACCGCCCGGGGCGGGCCACTACGCTACGCCACTGGCACAGAGAAGGATGAAGAGAGCAATACTCGGTAGTACTTTACATGACCGCAAGAAAAACGAATGAATCAGAAATTCAGAATGTTATCTCTTTGATTGCCAAAAGTGGAGATGGACGGGATATGAAGCACGCAGAAATAGTAAGACAAAAAAGTGTTATATATTTTCTACGTCTTATAGGGGCAAGAATTTTAAAGCTACGGGTTTTTGTTGACACTAAAAGTAGTGCAATCAAAGGATTGAATACTATTCGGTATGCTAAATTAATATTTTAAGGTTAATACCTCCAAGTATATTCGAGTATGTAAAATATATTGACAGCAAGTTACGCCAATCTAACGGGTTGATAGAATATTATTACTAAACAAATGTTGGATCTGTAATCTTGCTCTTCTCTCATAATATAATCAAATATTCTGAACAACGATGTACATGTTATTAGACTAAATTATTTGACTAAGGATAAAACTATTTCTGGTAATCTTAAGATGCATGCCAAAAAATGACACTCGGTTAGTCCGGACTAAAATATTGATCGACTTCAACAGAGCTGAATTTTGGTTTTTTTAACAGTTTGTTTGTACTGGTACCCACAGGAGTCTATCAAATTTAACTCTGTAGTATATTTTTGTTATTTGAAATGTTTATTGTGACCCGACTGTAATGTATTTTAGCGGCAGCACTTAAACAAAGTGTTTCCGTCACCATGTAGCTTAGTGGTTAAAATAAAAGAATCCGTCACCATGTAGCTTAGTGGTCCAATACGCCACGGTATAAAATCTCATGCTTGTACAGTCAAGGTCAAAGATATAGTTACAAGTAGTTTGACACTATATATGTCCTCATATAAACACCCATAAAATTGTATTCTTGGATATGTATACATTGCTGGAAACAGAAATTATGTATTCACGGGTATATTCGTTTGTGTACAAGTTTCTATTTATGTTCTGTCTCTTTTATTTGACGTCAAAATCATGCAAAATAAACAAATATAGATATTGACAATTATTTCGCAGTGCGCGGATTCGCGTGCATGTCCCCGTCTATGTGTAAGTGCTAAAATAAAAAGAAACCAATTCACCCAGCATTTCGTACTGGGCCCACGTGTAGATCCCAATACGAACAGGTGGTGTTAAAACACATTATTAATGATTGAGTGATCCACCCAACATATCTCACCGAGGTTTTCACAGGTTTAAGTACCAATAAAGATTAGTGGTGTTAAAGTGTAGGTATTCTTAATATGTTGTCCCCAAGTTGGTACCTATGGATATACATATATTATTGTAATTGCCCTTTTACCCAGACCCGTGTTTACCCATGGTGCGGGGGTGCACCCGAGTGCCGCACCGATGATCATCGGGAAATTTTCTGTAATGGGGGGAGGGGGGGGGGGGGGGGGTTCGCCAAGGCACTGCTTGCACCCGGTCGTCTGTTTTTTATTTTCGTAGTTTTGCACGTTTCCATATTTATAGTAGTTTGGATGGTTACATTTTGTGGCACCTTGCGGTGTATGGCGCAGCCAAATCTTTGACCTTCACTGTACGTTACGTTTTTTAGATAAATATAGATAATTATAATTATTTAAAATTTTAAGACGATATAATAAAATGAATTTAGGTATATTATTGTTTTTTTAACATTCCTGCTACCGATATTTCGCCAAGTCTCGCGTAAACGAATATTTATGTATGTAGACAGTGTCGTCGGTGTGGCGGCGTAGTACCCTCTTGGATTTTTGTCTCGACTTGTTTAGCAATCGTCGAAATGGGGACAAATAGCCAAGTTACGTAGTTTCAAAGATAAACGAGTCTGTGGCGCTGCCGAGTTGAAGTCAGTTCTATAGCACCACAGTTGGAATTTATTTTAAAATGATCAATAATATATATTGCAATCTTCAACAGCCTATTAAAGTCCCACCTCTGGGCACAGACCTTCCCTATTGATGGAATCAAACTGATTCAATCCACATTGGTTGGTGTTAACGACTAGATACAGGAGGGGCCTTGAAATTTTTATTTGAAGACTTCCCTGACAGTACTTCCCTGACTGGAGTGGATCATACGCTAGTTTCAAAGTTTGTCTCGCCATTTTTGAGGTCCTGGGTTCGATTCTAAGTTGATATAGAAAATAAACTACATATAGAAATGCATATTCTCAACACCCAAACCTGAGAATGTACAGAGCGCTTTTTATTTGGTGAATGCATAAGAAAGGCCTATAAGTAGGTACCCAAAACCTTGCCAATCCGCGTTGAACATCGAATTACTGCGAAAAAAAGGGTATGCTTTGGTAGAGCGCTTGGTAAATACGTGTAATGTCAAAAAATTCTAAACAGCGAGCTTCAGTCGTACCAGTTTGTTTGGAATCGACGTTGCTTTAAACATCAAGTTAGTAGGTACAACATTAATCAGACATATCTCCACCACCCCAACCTATTATTATTCCTCTATGCATATCTCGAATTCAAACAAAACCTAAACGACTAGCAGGCGATCTAAGATCACTATTTATAAATAACTAGCTTTTGCCAGCAATTTCGCCCGCGTGAACACTATAAAAATGTTTAGTGGGACAAAAAGTATCTTATTATCTAAGTCAGCTAATACCCTATCTGTATATCAAATTTCATCAAAATCCGTTCAGTAGTTTCGGAGTGATTGACGGACAAATATCCAAACAAAGAAACTTTTACATATATTAATAGGATTGTTTTAATTCGAGATATTTTTGATTAATGTTGTGCATATATATGCTATGTATCACTATTTGTCACAATATATTTACTTTGAATTATTTGACATACATAAGACCAAAGAGTACAGCATATGACCCTCAAATTCATCGGTGTGCTGCTGATCCCGTATTTTTTTTGGCAAGGAGGCGCGGGAGCACGTCTTTACTTTTGATGTATATTCGTTAGCGGGGAGTGAGGGAACGTTTTTACCTACAAGCGAGGTAAAATCTAGCCTTAAGACTATGGGAATAAAAAGGCCTACTTATTAAGTGCACACTCATCCCAAATCTTCACTTTCGTCTATATTTTTTTTTACTAATTTACTTCTCTGTAAGATATATCGATATCGACTGCAAGCGACATATCAGTATTTTTATAAAACTTTCATCCCTTCTACTATCGGATGCGAATCCTCCCGTTGAAGAAATTTACTATTAATCTAATTTAATTATGACGGATTTATAACTATTTTAAAGAATATTATAAAATCTGTGATTTATAGTTCCAAAAAATGTTTTACATAAATATTAAAACTGTACACAATACTTTTATTTCTTTCGGCAGTTTTGGTTGATGGAACTACACTCTGTAGTAGCGAAAAAGTAACAAGTGCTTGAAAAATTCGCCAGTCCTGTTAGGTCCTGGGTAGCTCAGTGGTTAAGGCAGACGCCCGGATTGTGAAAGGTCATGGGTTCGAGTCCAATCTCAGAGTGCCAGGGACAAAGTGAATTTTTTAAGTATTTTTCATTAAGAATAATTAAGACTTATTTCCATTAACACTTCTCTACTCGATGGTTCTCACCATATCACTAAAAATACATTTGAACCTTATTGCAGCATAATAAAGATTAAAATTCATTGCAAGCATCCACGAACATTTAGCACGAAGAAGTATTTTTTAGTTTTAAAGAATAATAAAGAAGAATCACAATACAGTCACGATTTTTCGACATGTAATTCAAATTAATACGAATTATATTTCCAATCTGCCTGCGACCTAGACATTAAGTTAGCAGGCTCACTAAAATCTTCCAATATTTCATAATTTACAGTGTCACTAATTATATACCTCACCAGCCCTTTTACGTCCCCACTGCAGGGGCTCGGGCCTTCCTTATGGATGGTTAAGGAGGATGGGCCATGACCCTCTGCAAATGCAACCGGGACCAACGGCTTAACGTGCCTTCCGAAGCACGGAGTAGCTCGAGATAATAATTTTTTGGTCACCCATCCCGAGACCGACCCTTGCGAAAGTTGCTTAACGATTACGATCGCGGGCCGCGGCGCTTATCCATTACGCCACCGAGCTACATGAATACTACGCTATGCTACACTAATTATATGCTGTGTATCAATAATCGTCACTATTTACTCACAATTTGTTGACATACATAAGACTCTCAAACTCGTTGGTGTGCTTGCTACCTTGACGTTCATCGAATAGGTACTGGCCTGCACTTTTAGGTTATATAAAAACATAGATTTTTAAAACACTAGTAAATAAAATGTACATTTTTATAATAATATATTCTACATAATGTACTTTTATTGTTTTTTGACCGGCACTTTCACATTTTGTTACGTTTTAAATGTCGTTTTTGAGTTTGGCATTAGTGTGCAAATAGAGTAAACCGCTTAATAAAGTGTTCAATAACTTTAACCACTAATTTTATTTAATATAGTACTGTTACATATACAAAACCATTTTATCATAAATTAAGTTTCTTCAAATGTCAAAGTTCGATCAGCAAAGGGATGGACACACTCGTCATAGTATTCTATAAGCTCGTCGTTAGAAGGCAAATATGTAGGGAATGGTGGACTACTCTCTAATTTACGAAGAGGGAGAACGGTATCAAACAAATAACACATAGCACCAGTTTCTCCAGGAATGGCAACTCCTAATGTCCATATGACATTGTATTTTGTGTTAATGCGTAGAATTTTTACTCCACGAAGTGTTCTCCACCTAAAAAAGGGGCAAAAAATTAGTATAGAGAAAGAAAATTATATATTGATAGTGCTATTTGATTCAATTTATCCATTTAAGTATTGAAACTATTTGACATACATATCAGATATTATTATATTTTGAAGTAAGCACTGATATTATAGTTAGTTTTTCGGTGAGTTGCACAAACGTTCATTAGGGCTTAATGACGCCTTAAAGCTCTAACGAATGTCAAATTTGTATCGGTAATGTCACTTTAAACTAATGTCAATTGTAATGGACGTTTGTGCAACTAGCTGTTTGTCACTTAACTAGTTCTTGCACTTAATGGCGACAGTTATATAGGAAGGCAACGGTAAGCTTACACTTGTGCTTTACCTATGGCATTCTACTAATGTTTTTATAGAAAATACTCATGAATATTTTTTCATTCCATTTTTATTTTTATTCCATGTTAAACATTGAAATTTATATTAAATTTTATATTTTAATGTTAAACATTTTTTTGTAACGATCATACGATAAAAAACGATCATGATCCATTAAATCGACAATAAATAATGTTGCAACATGTTTAAAGACATCTTGGCGGTCGCACGGCATGTCTGTGTTTATATCTGTTAAGTTCTCATGCCCAACCCACTAAAAATAGTTGACTTGAGATAGGACATAGGTTGCTTTTAATTGTAATAAAAAGGTTGATAGGGATTTAAATTTTGTATTGAAGTTCGTCATTGTCAAATACAATATTTGTTTTAGTGTTTTTACGACATCACGCGAACAAAGTCGCGGGCAAAAGCTAGTCTTACATAAATGACAGCGCTATAACGTAATTTTATTTTTTATATGATGTTATATATGATTTATATTATAATCCACAGTTAAGTTAGCAATACTACATACGATGTATGTACAATTAGCAGCATATCGAGTTCCAATCAGTAAACTAGAAATTATCAGATTATTTTTTACCTTATAACTGTATTAGTAGTGTAATAATAAACATATAGAAAGCTTCACACTTGCCTATTTCCCATGTGTCCAGGCATTTTGGTTCCAGGCCAAACGCGAGCTTTTTCGCCTCCAGCGCCTATATTTCCAGGACGACGATGAGTTTTAGTGACTCCGTGAGATGCAGGCATTCCTTTGAAACCCCACCGTTTCATGACGCCTTGAAAACCTCTGTCCATTCTGCAATATAGTACAAATAGTGTCAACTGGAGGCTTTAGGTCTGTATCTTGGTAAATAGTTAACATAACATAAATATCAAATTCAAAAGAGATTAAATAAACTTACGTTTTTGCTCGTACATCTATATAATCGCCAACTCTAAAATGGCTGGCGAACAATGGTGTACCGGTTGGTAGAGCAGCTTCTGGTGAAACCATGAATCTGAACAAATGTTTTTTTGGCAACATACCAACTCTACTAAACAGATCAGTGTAATCTTTAGTTACTGTAGTAGGGTCTATCGTTTCCGATCCAACTAGGATACAACCCAATCTTCTTTTTTCGCGCCATTTAAGTTCTGTGGTTTTCATTGGGTTAAATTCTTCTGGCGGTATATATTTTATTACATGATTATCAACAACCTGAAAAGTAAAGATAAAAAAAATAATTTGTTTTTATGCTTGTTTACGTATCCACTTCTCGATTACATGATCACAAAATAATAAAGTCAATGAACGTAAATCAATAAACGCTTGTGCAATTGCAACATGTGTACAGATTTTAATTTCCAACAACATATTTGACGTCAATAGGAATACTCACTTGTAATAGAGTGGTCTGCATTTTCTTGCCATCTTTGGACCAAATGGGGTAGTTCCCTATTTTGCGTGCAACAAGGCCAACCCTTCGAGTACTCCGGTTCCATTGTTGAGAAATTTGAAACGTACCATTAACTAGAGGAGATTCCAGTTCTTGCTGGGTATTTTTTCTGTCGTTTATGAACTCTTCTATAAATTTTTTATTATCTTGTGTCAAATATTCATCAGAAAGCTGAAAATCATATCAGATAATTGTCATCATCGCCAGCCTTTTAATTTTCTCACAACTGGGAACTCGATTGGGTGCCTAAGATGCTGACGGTTTAGCGGGAGTTCCGAAGCCTTTGCGACAGTTGCATAATACAATCTTAACGCCCTTAGAGTATACTTTAAGTTAACGCCTTAACGCTCAAAAATCACTTCTCAATTCCTCACTACAATTAGACATGTGTAATTCCAACGCTTTTATAATTTTTGATACATTAATAACAATTAATACATACCACCCTTTCCTTAGGTTGATACCAATAAGGAGGTCGGTATTTTACAGTAAAAACTGCTGATCTTGTCACAATATGATCTAATCTGAAATAGAATTTATGGTTAATGTACAATTTTTAAGTACGATTTGTTTATGGGTTACAATAAAAGGGTATAATTTATCTTGTCTTCCTCCTTTGCTGGCCTAGTTTGAGCGGACGAATATATACCTAATTTGTATAAAACACAGCGATGCTCTTAGCCGCGGTAGATTTTTTACTAAGCACTGCTGAAACTGTATGCATGTACCACTTTATCTGCCAACTCACTGCAAAGCCGGCCGTATGCCCGTAAACAAATGACTAGAAAAGTCAGTTATGATCTTGACAAGAAAAGAAATAATTGGGAAAATGCGCCAGCACCTGACCAGTACAGTACAGGACACATGTTTGTAAAAAAAATATAAGATTCATTATCAAAAATTTGTAATTATGCACACAACTGTTCCATACGACAATAGACCTCGCTCTGCAGGACTTATTCTGTACCATATATGACCCTATAGTGTACTCAACAGACATTAGCATAGGAGGAAGGCAACCCTCATGTACAAACAGTAGGTAATGTGTAACTTGCTTGAATGAAATATAACCTAATATAGACTTCTTTTGACTTTCTTAAGGTATAATTAACAGTTTTGTTTATTATCTTTTTTATTTGTAATACATTTAAAAAATTCTCTAATTAAAAAAAAATAGATTACAAAGTGCATTTGGATTTTCCTAACTTATTTTTAACTTAAAGAGACTGAAATACAAACTCCTTACCATTAAAATATGCTCTGTTATTGCTTACATTTTATGCTTTTAACTTCTCCTAAACTTTGCTTTGGACACTAATATGTACATTACACATTACTTGAAATAATATGATATGTAACAAAAGTGGGTATGAAATAAATAATGTAAGTGGGGCAAACACATAGTAACCTGCAAAACCAAAATGGATATTTAATGTTGAAACTATTTGTATATAAAAAAAAATCTTATGTAGTATAAATTGACTAAGGAACTCCTTATTTGTTACCATGGATGTTTATATGAATTATTTATCAAAAAAAAATTTTTTTTCTGCTTTGAAGAACACTTTTGGGTTTTGCAGGTCACTATGTGTTTGCTTTCCAGCATTGATTTGTTACTAGTTTCATATACTTCATGTGCTATATATCATCTTTTCAATCTAGGAAATGTGTCTGAGTAGCAGTGTCGCCTTACTGAAGGGACTATGTATGTGAATCTGTACATCTGACAGAAAAATCCACATAATTCGAACATATCAATTAATTTTTATACTATATGTAAATGGAATAGAAAAGGAAACAAGTTTAACTTATTTCATATGTAGTTATCCTTTAATTGTTGAATCTCTCTTTTTCATTCACTAGCTCAATCAATGTTAAGAGAGTAGGTAAAGAGTGTGGTAATAACAGTTTTTAATTAATAACTCAGTTCCCTCAGTTACAAAGTGACTCATATAAAAAGGGTCTTATTATAGTAAAAAGTGAAATATCACTTCTTGTTATTTATTTGTAGAAAAACCAGTAGAAAATCAGTGATTTTGGGTGTATGCACCCACTAAGATGTGGCCCTTTCCAGTGGTCCTTAAAGCAGCGCAGCGCCATATAATTAATACCATAGAAAAACGCATTACGCTTCTATGACCGCTTTCGAGAAACGATATCACTTTATACTACAAACAACTAATTTGATATTTTATTTCTTTCCCAATAATAATCTCTTTGGGATCCTAGGGTCTAATATTGTTAACGAATAAATATTTTCCACTAGAGACGCGTCACGAACAACTGAATGAACATGAACGTTCTATTATCGTAACTTGACGATAAGATTCCAAGTTATTCATTAAAATTGCAAAACTCTGTGCTAAACAGTAACTTCTAAGATTATGATGACAAGTCGAGTTATGATTCTAAGCAAAAATATTATATTGAAACCGGTCTTCCCCGATAATATTTCTCGGAGATTCGTAAAATAATGGAAATAATAAATGTTTACCTTAATTTACTCAATTTAGTACACAAAATCTTTAAATTATTTGCCATTTCTTATAACCTCTTCTCTTTTTTTTTCTTTTTTATTTATGGCGTATTTGCGTTTACATAATTTCGCCAATGTCGCATTGGTGGTCTTTACAGGTAAAGAGACTATTCCATATATATGTATAGGGATGTGTATGTATACATATAGTTTCTTTTATTTAAATTCGATTTTTTTGAAAGATCATAATAAAATGACGTTTTTTATTTTAATAAAGGTTTAAGATTATTATTTATTCCAAGAAAATACGTAACATTAAATTAAATAGGCTGTATCTGTGAGCCATGGACACAGACCAATAAGAGATACTACCTACGTATCCATGGGCTAAGGTTGACATTGATTTAGATAAGCCTAATGTTTTTTGACGTGGATACGTCTATGTTTTCGCTCTACAGGGGGGTCATTCTGTGAGCAGGAGTATATGCACTAACGCCATCTATTGGCGAATAAGTGAACTATGCTTGCTCTGCAGGGGAGGGGCATTCTGTCAGCAGGAGTATATGCACTAACGCCATCTGTTGGCGCTAGTGAATACTTTTTTCATTCAACAAATGAACGCAATGAATATTTATTTACTTAGTGTTTAGTGTCTTCAATTTGTTTATTTATTTATTTTTTTAATTATTCATTTATAAATGCAATTATGCCACAACGTTGCATAATTCCGGGTTGTTTTGGAGAAGCGAATCGTTCAGTTTTTAGAGTGCCAAAGAACATTGAAGACGTGAAGAGTGGTTAAAAGCTATTCGTGATGTGTTTCCTAACCTGGATGTTGGTGAAAATTTTTTTTTTTATCAATTACTCATATATCCATTCATACATAGACGTATCCACGCATAAAATATGGCTGTATCAATGATACAGCCAACCAGGGTTTTTTTATTACTAAAGCGATTTAATAAAAACATCGATATTAATAAAAATGACAGTATAAGAATGACTCTTTGTGAACTAGTAATACGAATAAGAATAACTTATATTCTATGCTATTAACTACATATGTATATATGATAAACCGTTAAATGCAAATATGAAAAAGAATAAAAAAAATACTAACTTTGCCACTAGTCACTAGAGATAATGACTACGATATTCATTGAAATTTTGTTTCTGATGTAATGAAAATAAATTAACTATCGAATATTTATAAATATGACATCGTTTCGTGTTTCTTATAATAACCGAGTTCAAAATAAATTTACACATGCATAACTAGGATAGACACTTATTTAAAATAGACAGTTTAATAGCTCTCAAGTAATTATTAATTATCCTGACTCTGGTTCACCTTGTTAACAAATAAATATTTTTGTTAAATCCTGTTTTTTTTTACATTGACTTCAACATCGATTATCTCTATTAGAAATGAACTATATTACTGTGGCGACTGATACATAGCGACATCTAATTCATCGCAGTAACATCGCCACAACAATCGATAGCGAGAAGACTAGCATCGTCACAGCCATCGATAGCAAGACGAACTGCAAGAAGTTTCAACACCAAGTAACGAGATAGCGCTGTACCAATACGAACATCATAAATTAATACTACAAGACATTTAGAACAAAGAAACCTACATCACACAGAATAAGTTTCATTACCAATTAAGATAAATAGAACGTCCAACCTACATCGGTTGGACCGCGATCCCCGGGCTAACAACACCTAGCTCGGAGGGAGACAACTATCCTTTAGTCTCCCTAGCCAGTTGTCTCCATCACCATAGTAGGGACCCAAACATTCAATCATACGGTTCCTAAATTACTATAACTAGATTTTTTGGATATAGATTTTTTTATTACCATATCACTAAAAGCTTAAAAACCCAAACGCCATTAGGGATGAACGATACCACCTAGGTATTGATACTAATCGGCTTGGAATTAATAGCATCTGCCTATTTACTTGTATCGAATAGTTTTTTAAATGTTTCACCTCGTCGTCATTTTTATAGATTTTTAGATAAGATTTTGTTATTATTGATAGCCAATAGCAATATTCTGTTTACGAAAGAAAGTGAAGCAGGTCCAGGCATAAAAAGAGATGCATAAAGTTATTAAAATTTTGTTGGCAGTGCTCTCTGTGGATAGATTTCTAACTACATATAATTAGCAAGGGTTAGCAATGTTTCGTCATACGACAGGGATGTCGCGCCTTTGGGACTTTTTTATAAGACAGAGTTGAGGCAGAATAAACAGTCTTATGCATGCGAGGTTTTTGACTCTCCTCAGTGAGAGACCGAACAAATTCGGATACAAATACTTCATGATACTACTCTTAACTCATTTCTAGAGTATCGATACCAAAATACTTGATATCGTAAGAAAAGTATCGAATCGAGAAAATATGGAAACTACTCTTTGATGAGAGTTGTCAAATAAATGTAAACACTAAGTCTGTGAATGTAAACAAACTGCAAGACAATTTTGTTAATTGTATTGTACTAACACTTGAAGCAATAAGATTCCATTAAATTATAACTGTTTTAAAATGATTCGTAAAATTGCAGTTACTTTTTTTATCATTACATGTATAAATCAAAGTTTTCAAAATGAAATTAAAATTTATGGTCCTGGGTTAGAGCCTCAAAAAATTGTTATGCCGGCGAGATATTTTTTTGTGAATTTTACATCATTTAACGAAAAGTAAGTGCAATGTATATCATCAATTCGAATTACTTAACTTCGAGTTATCGTATAGTAGCTTCATATATAATGCTGTCAATGAGTATTTCAATTAATTACGGGAAAGAAACAGTACATAGAAATAAATATCTCCATGTTCGGTACTTGCACAGGAATATGTGCCCGATTAAGTCTTATCACTGTCATGTAGAGTCATCATCTTGGAATTTTTTGGAGCAAAGAAAAATTGTTATTCTCATTGCCCTTTATGCCTACTATAATGCCCCAAGTTGCAATACTTCCTTTATGATGTTTTTTTAAGTTATATGTGCTAAAACTTGCTTGCTAACATTTGTAATATCCACAGAATTGTGCAAATAGAGCAGCTAATCTATTAAGAAAGTAGAAAATTATTGAATTCAACTAATTTTTAAACCAAATGCTGTTTTACAATAATATTTTTCATCACAACACACCTTGATCCATGGCATTTAATGTGCTGTAATTTTTATGTTATGGTGAATACTATATATTTGATTATATATTAAAGAGTATTAACATTGCTAACAATATTATTTTCAGATATTCTCCATATCTAGCAAATGACTTTGCTGTTGAAATAGAGGGAAATTCTATAAAAAATGCACATTGTAGAATTTGGGTAAACAAATTAGATCGGAAGGACGGTACTTTTATTGTGCGATATAAAGTTTATGACACTTGCCTTGATTTGAAAATTAGCCTTTATTACAAAAGTAAACATATAATTGGATCTCCTTTTAAGTTTAATGGTAAGTAAGGCTGTTGGTTTATCATCAGTTGATATCAACATTTTTCATAAATTACTACAATGATTATTTATGGATTACTCTTTTGTTGCCAACTTAGGTCCAATTCAACCTGACCAATGCGACTGCCCTCACAACAATTTTGATACCTGGTTGAAAGAATATGGCTGTCCAACTACATATGAACAAATTGATAATGATCTCATCAGATATGAAGATCTGGATATGAATTTCCAGATTGAAAAAATCATTAAACACTATAGCAAACCAGAAAGCACCAGTTTGTGCCACTATGTGGTAAAAGACAACTTAATATACAGAAAATGTTATGGAAAACATGTGGGATTCAATATGTTTTCTGATAATATATTACTGTTTCTCACTCGCAAAGTAAGCTTACCTGATATGGAGTTAGTGATTAATCTTGGTGACTGGCCTTTGGTTCATAAAACTGCACAACCATTGCCTATTTTCTCATGGTGTGGTAGTGATGATACTATAGATATATTAATGCCTACTTATGATATAACTGAATCTACCCTCGAAAATATGGGTCGGTAAGTAACATATTATGAGATACAGAATATGTTAGAAATAGGGTATTCTACTCTGTTCAAAATATTACTTGTATTTATTTATTTTTTTTAAATAAAACCATAACATTTGGAAAAATATTGATGATGTGTTTTATTTTCAAATAAAACACATCAGTTTCAGTTATCACCAGAGTGACGTCACAAAATTGCTGGTTGTGAAATTTCGAGTGACAGACATAGAAAAAATCTTAACTTTTTAAGACAATTATGAGATTTTATGACTCAAAATCCGAATTATGTTTATTTTAATGTCAATTTAAGTGATTTGTGCAATTTATTGGCTTATTTTTCACTAACGAAACTACCCCATTAAGTATTTATTTTTTGTTTTAGGGTAACTCTGGATATACTGTCAGTACAAGGAAATATTGCCCTGAATTGGTCAGAACGATATGATAAAGCTATTTGGCGTGGTAGGGACTCGAGGCTGGAACGTTTAAAGTTAATAGATATAGCGCGTGCAAATCCCGATCTTGTTAATGCTTCCCTCACAAATTTCTTTTTCTTTAGAGACAAAGAAGCAGAGTATGGACCTAAGCAACCACATATATCTTTCTTTAAATTTTTTGATGTAAGTATTATTGAAATCAAAACATAATAAATGTTCATCTCTTGTAAAAAGATGTTGAATAAAATATGAAAAATTACAGTATAAGTACCAGATCAATGTAGATGGTACAGTGGCTGCTTATAGACTACCATATCTGCTTGCTGGTGGTGGAATGGTTTTTAAGCAAGATTCTCCTTATCATGAACATTTCTACAAACAACTACGTGCTTGGGAGCATTACGTGCCAGTGGCAAGGGATTTGTCAGACTTGAAAGAAAAAGTATTGTGGGCCCGTAAACACGACAAAGAATCCTATAATATAGCCCAAAATGCAAGAAAATATGCTAATGAAAATTTGCTGCCTCAACACATTATTTGTTACCATGCAGTTTTATTTTCAGTAAGTGTCCATTGATTTTATATTATCACAAAAATATTATCACATCTTTTTTAATTGTTGAGTATATTATAAAATGGATTATTAAGGGTCAATTAGAATGAAATTTATTTAGTAACCAAAATTAATTTTGTTAATGAATAAAACCAATTTTTAAGTAATCATCAGCAAATTACTGTAATATTAAATAAAATCTCTATAACACACAAATGCTATCGCAAAATTAATTTCGCGCATATGTACATGGTGAAATTAGTTTTATGAAAAATACAATACTAAGAAACTACTCTGCTCGGTGGCGTAGTGGATAAGCGCCACGGCCCGCGATTGTTGTCGTTAAGTAACTTTCGCAAGGGTCGGTCACGGGATGGGTGACCAAAAAATTATTATATCCGTCCGAAGCACCGGATAGCTCGAGATAATAACTCGCTCGTTAAGCCGTTGGTCCCGGCTGCATTAGCAGTCGTTAATACTCTCCAATCCGTATTGGGCCAGCGTGGAGGGTCATGGCCCATACTCCTTAACTTTCCATAAAGAAGGCCTGAGCCCCTGCAGTGGGGACGTAAAAGGGCTGATGATGATGAAGAAACTACTATAGTGTCATAAAACTAATGCATGTATTTTAAAACTGAAATTGTTAGTGAAATTCAGTGAAATTAATTTCATTTTATAATAAACTATTTTTGTAATTTCTGACTGGAAACAATTAAAATGTTAATTGTTAACCTTTATTTGTATTTTCTCTTCCAGAAATGGAGTAAAAAAATTAAAAGTAAAGTTACTGTAGCTGAAGGTATGACTCTTGTCCCTCAACAGAAGTTTTCATGTCAATGTAACACTAAAGAAACTGTAAATCATGAAGAATTATAAATTATCTCTCAGATCTGCCTTTTTTTTCAATATTTGCGACAGAAGTTGATGTTTCACTATGTAAGAGTGTGGAAACAACAGCCATTTCATGCCATCAGATACCATCATGATTTTTATAAATAAAAATGGGGCAGCATCACAAAACGTCAACTCAGATCCCAATTTAAGTAACTAAAGCACTTGTATTATGGGATTGGGACACAACAGAGGAACAACCGGATCAGATTCTGGAAACGATATAGAAACCGACCTTGTAATTGGCATATAAACCACTCAACCATAGAGGTCGTTTGGACTTTGGCCTGAATCTGTTCTTTGGACGGCGGCGGATTGCTAGTACACTAAGGTACAGTAAATTGGTATGTGTGACTCACACGACGACGTTTTAAGTTGAGTATTCTTGACCGTTAGTTCTTAAGCCTTTTTGTCTCTCGTATCCAGTTCCTAATGATATTATGTTTAAAATTTAAAAGATCTTTGTCTGTATTACATCTGGCGCGAAAATGTAAATATAACCGTAAATACGTCGAATAATAATTTTAGCATTTAATGAGATAATAAAAATACCTATTTTTAGTTATTATATATTATAAATATAACAGTTATTTTTAACATGTCTTACAATGCATTAATAAAATCAAATGTCAACGAATCTATAAGGCGGAAACACGTTTATGTGTAGTGTTGTTATTTCTGATGTTTTTTTATACATTAGGAATGTAACGAGATATTTCTGTCGTGACAGAACACAACCTGTAATGTAAATATGTCTTTAACCTTACTTAATTTGCACACGGCTGCACGTCAGGTTACCAAAATAAATTCAAATTTCTCATTTGATTTTAAACCCTATCCAGAAAGCATTAAGGTTTAAACCAAGTGGAGAAATTAGACAGGTTTATATAATTTGATATGAAACAAATATGTTACGACAGAACACGACACGACACAAGACGCGTTTTCGCCTTTAATTATAGTCATTTTAGTGCTTTATATTAGAATAAGTGATATATATACTCATACTATGATTTTTACAGCTTATTTTTGCTATTACAAGACATTCCTGAACTTTACCATTGTTATTCAATGTAATCTAAGTATATATATTATATTTTTGTTGTTACCTTGTGTATTGCACGATTATAATAAAAAATTACTTGTTATCTTCATATTTTCTTTTCTATGTAATTAATAGGAAAAATCTTGATGTATAGTATATGTTCACTTTACAAGTAAGGGTTTATACGCCCTGTCAAATTAAGTGTTTTACTTCGGAATTCACGGTAGTATACAGTTCCAATTTCAGCTCGTTAAAGTTGTCTACAGTGTCATTAATAAAATCTAGGCCTTATCCTAGGGTCCGCAATAATCCGATATATATCATGCATATGATAAGTCGCTATTGGCTTAATTTAATAGCGTCACATCGGGTTGGTTAATTTTCTATCTGAGACTCAATACTAACAATAAATAAATATCAATTAATATATATCCGTTGATATTTATCGGCGAACCCTGCCTTATCCACAGCGTAGTTCATATTAAGTAGCGAGTAGGTGAATTTTAACTCGTTATTATTATCGGTACATTGCGACGTCAGGACTGCGGTAGAAGCACATGTACGCGTCGGCTAGAAGTCTGGAAGCGTGCGGCGATGATGGGGTTGAATGAGACGTACGAGCCCCTTCCTCTCCCAACCAGGCTCCTAACTCCTCAATACTTACTATCTCAGGAATGTTGTAACCGTTGCGTTCGCCTGCCAGTAAAAGTTTTAGAGATATTAAAATTCTAGGACATAATAAATCATTGGAAGCTGGACGGGCTAAAAACCTAATCTAGTGCAACTTGAAAAAAAGAAAAGTCAAATTAATACCCCAATTCACGATATTCCGTGCTGACATTATTTGTCACCTCTTAAATAATACGAATAGGGATGACGACTAATTTTTGTTTATTTGTCCGTCAGGTACAAAAAAAAACATACGTATATTAAATACGTTTTTTTTTTAAATCTTCAATGAGTACCTGACGAACAAATAAACGTAATCAATAAATTATGGGGATAAATTTAGTTGAAATGGCGCTAGACATCACGCTTTCTTACATTTTATACAAAACTGTGACGTAGCGAGCCCCCACTCATCAACGCCCATTATCTAAGCCATTTCTTGTTTAAATGGAAGCGAATAAATACGTATCTACTATTTTTCTATTACCTAACTGACAGACTTAATAAAATTATTATTTTTTTACCCAGTCGTCATCCCTTTTGACACACTCGACAAATCCATATATTGAGTGCATAAATAGATAGTTGCATCAATTTGAATATAAGGTAATGTCGGAAATATATTACTCTGTAACTTAAATAAGTAATCTCTGTATTGGCCCTCAGTAACTTAAAGAAATCCTTTCACAACCTCTATAGCATAAAATTGTTTGTCAATGAGTCATTTTGAAAGAGTGTGCAAAACAAAAGGTTTCTGTATTTATTGCTTGCACGTGTTCACTAGTTAAATTGTTGAACCAGTCCTTCTGACGCATTCTAGTAAAAATAGGAACAAGGGTACATACATACACATGTACATACCTACCTCTATATTTACCTATCCCTAACATAGACCCTTGATGAATTGATGCTTAAAAGTTAAAGTTATAGTTAAAATTTTAAGTTATAGTTAAAGTTAAAGACTTTAACTTATCGAGGTTCTACTGTAATAAAAAACGAAATTATAAGTTTGTTTTATACGGGCGTGACGTGACAATTACTGTCTATGGTCTGTGTTTTAATATAAACCAATGAACGACGCTGGCTCGTTGTGTGAAGTACCTTCACAATACAGACTAGGTGAGCATAGAGTTATTAATATTTTAGCAGTAAAATAAATCAAAATATGTTTTTTTATTAAGTTGATTTACTTACAAAAATTCATAGACGAAGCGTTTTTATGTTCGATATACACTTTTGTAACATTGTTGGTGTTATACAAGTAGTTGCGAATATTTTATTTTGGTTATAGTCCACTGAATTGAATTTTATTGAATACTAGCTGTTTTACCGCGACTTTGCCCGCGTAAATTATAACCTATGTCATTCGCATATTATAAAGCTTCCCAGGTAATTAGGGTGATTCCCAAGTTATAATAGGTGAAAATAAAAATCTTAATCCGATCAGTATTTCCGATTATTAGTACCTACAGATAAAGTTTGAGACATTTATCTCTCTAAAATATTAATATAGGATATAATTAATGTCGAGAGCAAAGGATATTTTTCATTTTACCTTTTCTGTCTGCCATAGAGTCAAAAAAACACCAGGGTGCATCATGACCGACGCCAGCTTTCACAAAAGCCACGTAATGACTTGTTTCAATGCAGAGTACAGCAAATAGTTCCATATAAACCCTCGGCACCGGGTATGTTTCGAGTACATTTACAAACTCTTCGCACACCGTTAGTGGTGTTGCCTGTAAAAAAAATATTTTTTTGTCAGCATCTATACTTGCAAATTCTAGTCTTGCTTTTAACTATCTATGGATGTTTACTTTGTGAAGTTAAAGTGAAAAATAGTGAGAATGACGCGGACGTGAAAATATGAACTGTACCTAATATTTTAGTGTATGGTCGAAATTAGTTTACAAAAATACTAGGTGGATAAAGAATTAGATTAGATGTCGTATAATACATAGCCACGTAGCAAAAGTAGCAAATGCTACGGGCTCCGCGAACTTGGGGGGTCTGACAAATAAATTATTTTTCTTTGATGTTAAAAAATGCAAGAAATTAAATATGTATGAAGAAATATAATATGTGCCTAAACTCATATTTTTAAGTATAACCGTAAACTGATAAATAAAACTCAAGTTACAGATCAGTTTTGTTGTTTTTTTTCGGAAAACAAAAGACGACTTTTCTGTTTCGTTTGCAAAGTTATTAGTTCTGATTATTCGGTTACTTTTTTACATTTAAAACCGCCAATACAACAAATTGTTCTAAGAAAAATGTGTTTGTAAGAATTTCGTTTTATTTTAATTATACATTTCATCCCTAACAAACCAAGGGCCCCTTAAAAAATTTGCTACAGGCCCCGCTCTGGTCGCACAGTATTGTAAAGTACGTGAATCTGTTTTAGGAAATACAACTTCAGCCTATTGATGTCCCCACTGCTGGATGACCCACCACGCGAGCCTGGTTGGTGTTAACTAATACAGATGCAGCCGGGAACAACAGCTTACGTGCCTTCCGAAAGGTCCACCTATGTTTCAGGATCGGTTCACTATCATAATGTTTAAGATACTGTATTGTGAAAACTTGTTTTTGGCCTATAATAAGCTTAGTTCGTAGTTAAAATATATGTATTTTAGCTGGAAGTCTATTGAATAAAATAAAATAGATAAATAGTATACTACGTCCATGATAGTGTGTACCTTGTGATGTGGTCGCGTGGCGTGCGCTAGTCTCAGACATGAGGTACAGAGGGCGCCACCTTCTAGTGCGCCGCCGCCCGAGCCCGCGCACGACCCGCACTCCCACCGCGCGAGACCGCCGCACACGGTACATTGACGCGGTACTGTACGTACAAACAATACACGTTACGTCGTTAGTACACCGACGCAATCGCATGCGAATGCGAAACATTTGCGAAATTTTGTCAGTTGCAAGGCAATGTTTCACATGTGCTTTGTCTCGCTCTATTATTAGATCAATGATATAGCTATTTATATAAATAGACTACAAACTAACCGAATGTCGCGAACTTTGTCTTTGTTTCGCAGATAACATACATACATACTAACGGTTTTACGGGCACCACTCACATTCTACTACTGTCTATTGAAAATCTTTAAAATTTAAAATTTATTTGTGTTTTATTATGCAAATTTTAATAAATATCTTATATATACACAGTCAAACTATTTTTTATAATGATGGTTTTTAATTATTTTGAAACAAAAATTACGTGAATTGGATTTGTTAACAAACGTCACCGTACTCGTATCCGTATAGTATCTATGGACGACCTCTTTAGCCGAGTGAAGCCATCTCCGTTGTCCCGGGTTCACCTGGTCAATGTAGCAAATGAACTTTTCTATATTAAGTCGGCTCAAGGTGCTGCGTTACCTTCGTAGTCTCAGATACTCCATAATACAGGCTTTAATTATTTATCTTTGATTCTGAGCAATGTATAAGATATTGTCTAATATTTATTTACATCAGTCATGTTAAAACACCGGCACCGGTCCGTGATTCGACAAAAAACGTTAGGCGTCGGCATAAAAAAGAGCACTGACGCAGGTGGAAGTGTTCATGAAGAATATACGAAATAATAACTATCACGATTTAAATAAAGCTGTGACTGCCCTCGGATAACACTAGCCATGGCTCTACCCACAAGATACGACATATTATCGATGTTATCAGACAAACATCGTTAATATATATATCGTTGACATGTACTTTAATAACAATGTAAGAAAGATAAAAAATGATAATTACGGATTCGACAGCAGTGTTACCAACTTTGTCATGTATCTACCAAAAGACATATGAACGTAGTAAAGTAAACGAAATATCACCATCACATCGCTAAGATTTCGCATTCTATGGCTGGAGTCATGACTATAGAGTTAGGCGGCCGCACCCTTGATTTGTGTGAATGAGGGCCTATTTGCAAAAAACCTTCGTATGGCTAACACGCTATGACTCGGTGCTAATCTGTGTACACAGACAATTAAACTATAGCAAATTTTATTTCTATTGACTAGGACACGATATTCGAATACTCTGCAACTATCGTCATCGGTATAATCGAAACGAAAAGAATGTTGCGGTAGCCGCTTGCTAGGCGCTTTACATTTGCGTTGAGTACATTTAGAAGAATCTTTATGGGCGTACTTATTTTAGTGTTTAATCAAATTTCAACTTTATTGACTAGGTCGCAATCGACTACCTAATCTATTTCTCGCGCGGTCGATTTCTAGTCTTGTCTAAATAATTCTTGACGTGGCCTAAAGTTAAAACCAATTTAAACCGTCTTTTTAATTTCCTGATAGCGAATAGACCTTCCCCGTGGAAAGAAACAGAAAAATAGGTCATAATCCACCAATCGGGTCCAGTATGGCTCAGTAGGTCCTAATAACGATACTTACGGCCCTCTATTAAGTCAGTGACATCCAAAAGTGGCGACGGTAATACTTGCTGATAAAGTTTATATTGTTTTCCAAATCTCGGCATTTGGATAATAAATGCAGCCGGAACCTGGAAATATGTTTATACATTATCGTATTATAAATCTGCAACAAATCTTATATGACTGAAAATATATTAATGATTAACGTATTAAAATTTACCTCGCTAAGTTTAACACCAGATGTCGCGAAAGACTGCTCCAACAGTTGTTGAACGGTAGGCAATGAAACGTGCTCGTCTTTCTCAACAAAAAGCTGGTAACAATAAGATTCTTGCCCTGAAGAAAGCTTTAGAAATGGCTCTGCTCGCAGCAATTGTGCAACTAATCCGTTTAAAAACTCCTCGGGATCCTATACATACATATAAAAATGCTAATTATGTCAATCAAAGCATTGTAAGCATTGAAATCTTTTATTATTTCATAACAAGTTCACGATATATAATAGCTTTAATATCTATTTTAATAAGTGTGTAGGGTTCACACGTTGCATAGGGGATTGGACAACTTTCTAAGAACTGTTTTAAATTAATCATTATGGGCGCTTTTTCCCAAACAAATATTATTTTATGTAAATAAACCTCATTGTGTACGTAAACCTATGTTTAAAATTTAACTGTTAAAAAAACCGCGTAAACGGCGACTAGGAGTGGTGTCATTTGCAGGGTAAAGAAAATGGGATTTTCAGTAAAAAAAAATATATATACCTATCGTCTGTCGTACTTATATTAAACAAATAAATTGACCCTTGTGACCTATTGAAAGTCTAGTAAATCATTAACATTATTTTGCGATATAAAGGTGTGCCGTTCTTTTCCTAGATAGTTTTACTACTAATTTATACACAAATGACTTTATGCGTTCTGACTGGTGTTTCATTTGACGTGAGACACAAACTGCAAATATTGAACAATTATATATTTTTATTGATTTAAAATATAAAATAATAAGTTAGAAATCTCAAAAATTTTAAAATTTCCCGTGAAGACGCCACTTCTGTCAAGACGTCGCTCTGACGTCACAGCATTTTGAAAAGTATGCATAAGGTTGAATCCTCTAAAATCTGATATGAGTGAGATGGGAGTGATGTCACGCGCTGTTTGCGGTCACGTGACAACGATCATAAAATATTTGTTTTTCATTATTAGTTTAAGCAATATTATAAATATAATAACCACTAAAGTGTGAATATTGGTAATAGTATATTAAACTCTACCAGAAAAAAATAATAATATACATTTATTTTCGAATACTGTCTACATATTGCTGTCCGATCCCCTATTGTGCATTGTTTGTGAATTGTTATGAAAACTCGTTTAAATAATATAGTATAGTAAAAAGTTATAAATTAATTAATTATTTAACAAACTTTATTGAACATTCAATTTTTTTATTACAAGAGGCGGACATAATGATAATGTCATTATCTGCCAGTCCACCTATATTATATATATACGTTTTTATTATTATAAAATGAATTATTATATTTCGTTGTACCAAATAAAACTAAAAAAAGTAATGTCTTATGCTGTGTTTCATGACTTTATTTGAAACAAATTTTTAATTCAATAATACTATTTAATTAAACATTTGTAAGAATCTCATAAAATTCAAAAATGAAAATAAGAATGATAGTAAAAAAAGTTATAATCTACGTACTTTCTCTTCGCACGTGAGTCCCGGCACGTCAGAAAGTCTCTCGAGTAGCGTACGCAACTTCATGACGCGGTCGGCGCGCACGTACCCGTGCCGACGCAAAGGGTTCACTATTTCTTCTCTCAACACTCTCTGTACTTCTGAATAGTGCGGCGAATCCTGGACATAAATTATTAACATATTATTTATTTTAAAGAAATACATTCAGAAAACGAAATATTCGCAAAGTTATAAATTTAGAATTTCATGTACTCTCTAGCCGTAGGATTCATCTTAGTGAATGATGTGACAATATTTTTAGTGGATAAATTTGGGATAAATAACTAAGTTGGTTACACTGCTATGAAATTAATATTAACACTTTATCATTCTTTCGTCGTTAGTAAAGTACACACCAAAGTAGTAAAATAGCGCTTTAACATCGCAAAGCGCTATTATGTTATATGCTATGGCTAGAGTTATGACTAGAGGAGTTAGGCGGACGCTCTGCAGTTGAGAAATTTAATAAGTGAATGCTGCTGAGAATCCTCCGAGGAAAAACTTGCATAACCTCGTCGCGTACTTGAGGTTATGAGTAAGTAATTGTCGCTACAAATGCTATAAATAGCAAAAGCTATAAAATCTACGGCAGTAACGGTATACAGTACCTCTGCTTCTGGTGGCCGGTAAAGTAATGCATCGAAGACGCTGGTGAATGTGAACATAGCGAAGAGCGTAGCGTCCAGGTAACATGAGTTATGGTGCCCTTGTATACCACGATTCTTCCCGGCTAATTCGCCCAGGGAAGTCAAAGGAGGAACGATACCAGGCACTACTGGGCAATCAGGCTGGGAAGTGAAATTATAAATGAATTAAATTCAAAAACCTTAAGAATTAGCGCATATTATTCTAATCAAAAACACCTAAGGAGCCAAGAAATTCGAATTTTAGTTTTAGTTGTATTGAACCTTACACACTTGTATTAGAGCATGCTTACAATAAATGGATATTTTAACAAGTTTAAAAAAAAAATATTTGAAACATATATTTCTACACTTTTTGGTTTTGGTATTATGAGCCTTTTTTATTTCTGGCATATTAAAAACAACAGATTATATGAGATATTCAAAAAGCAAGAATCATTTAGGGTTCTTTCAGGGCTATCTGTTGATAGATAGATAGATAGATAAATTCTTTATTTGCATCATGCATACACAAAATTTTACGATTTGGATTTTACACAATATTAGAAGCAAAAACAGGACAATCAAACATTATGTGTACCGCAGCGATGCAAATGGGCGAAAACTCAGTGTGTATTTACTCAAAGAGCAAAGCACTGATTTTCAGTTTTTACCCCAATCTCAAGTGGTCGCACTGTAAATATTAAAAAAATTCAAGAACTCACACAAAGAAATTGATAAAAAAAACTACAATACTAACCAGACACTACAAAAATACTAATAAATACTTACTAACTAAAATATTTGATAAACGTATAAGATATATAGATTAATAAAATAAATAAATAGATAGTAATACCCATTATTTGGCCCATCTGCCGATCATAGCGATGTAACCGTTTAAGTTAGAAACTTACATAGAACACATAGAACATGACACACTACACAGACATACCGCTACTATAATAAATAGTAACACAATAATTCTGTCTGTGTAACACGTACATCCGTTTTTTGTCACAGATTTATATTCTATAGAACATGGATTAAACCGTAACAAGAAAAGAAAGGCTCGTAATTAGAACAAATAATTATAAAGTCAATAAGCATGTCTGTCTGTCGTCTAGCTGTATCGTTTGAATTATATATAGCAAGACACTTGAGATATTCATAGAGTACATGTTACAAACATTCATCACGATAAATATAAAAAAAGATAATTTTAATATTGTGTAGTGTAATACGGAACCCTCTGAGGTATTAGTCTGTATCGTATTATCCGATTTAATATCATAGAAAAAATTGACGGAAAGTGGCTCTTGAGATAACATACTTAGTAGTAGTAGTACATAAATCGACTTATATATTAAGGAGAGTGGAGTATCAAAACAAGAGATTTGACATTTTGAAAAAGATTGAGATGTGGACAATATTGTAAGTAGATATTTACTAATTAACCATAATAACGCTACGAAACACTTCTAAAGTATGTATATATATTTCTGTCTTCTTTACAGTGCCATAATTTAATTGTTCTTTGTCCATTTTAACTCAGCTCTTCAAGCAAATCAAAGTGCAAAAAGATTTCCTGATGGATTCAGATTTGGCGTGGCAACATTCGCTTATCAAGGTGCTTGGAATAAAAATGTATTATACTGTTAAATATAAGAAATTGTCGACTGTTTCATAAAATAAGATTTACATTGTTGTCTGGTCGAGTAACACACAACCGACATGGCGCCGCCATCTCCGAACACTCATGTCGTGGCTCTTATCTCACTTCATTGCCATAATAAAACTATAGATATAGAACTAACTTTAGGGAATTGGGATTAGTGCAGTGTATATCATGTTATTAATTTTTACTTGTTAGGATTTCGTATTCAAAGGGTAAAATGGGAAACCTATTACTAAGACTTCGCTGCCTGTCTTTCATCAGGCTGTTTCTCATGAACCATTATTATTTAGACAGTTGAGATTGTCACAAATGATGTATTTCTGTTGCCGCTATAACAACAAATACTAAAAAACAGAATAAAATATAATCGTTTTCGGTACGGAACCCTTCGTGCGCGAGTTGGTCTTACTTGGCCGGTTTTGTTAACGTTGTGCTGTATGCAAGTACCTAATATATGCCTAGTATTTTATTACGCTTATTAACAGTTCAATAAAAAGATAAGTGATATTTACTTAAAGAAAATCTTCATCTATTAAGAATACAAATTAATGATTAATAATGACCTCGCAAGTAAGCATTTATATATAAAGAAATTTTGCGTATCCACTCTCTCGATGTTAATTATGAACCTCAAAGTAATGTTATGAAAATTGATTAACGTTTATGGTCATATGTTCTAAATAAAATATAAATAAATAGTTTTTCTTTTCTGCTACATAAATGTTCCTAGATTTGAAAAATAAAACTTGAAAAATGAATAACATTAATCAGAAGGGATTTTTTTTGAATTATTGAATCGAATTAGTTTCTAGCACAAATGGCGAAATTTTGTAATGTGTTTAATGATACAAAAATCAACCTAACATTATACAAAAATTTGACGTTTGTGCGCAATACAATTCGATAACTTTACATGTCAAAAGGCACGATACTGAAAAAACAGTGTACGATCATTATTCTAGCGTGTCTTCTGGCGTTGATGGATAAAATCAACAATTTTTAAAGCATATTTCATTAAAAATATTCTCCAGAATAGCATTATGAATGCAAAATTGATCGCATATAATAATATCAAACCTGTTCGAAGTCTTCGGCATCGTGCAAATCTAATCGGTCCGGCGGCGGCGTGTCACGGAACCGTGCGTCCCGTCTACACAACGGCAGCGGCACGAACAGCGCGCGGCCCGGTGCACACGTGAACAGGCGACTACCGCCGCGCGAACCGTCCCCCAAACCGCACACGCTCTGTTCCAATTCTACGCCCGCTGTCGCAGTGTCTGCGCAAACATATCATGATCAGCGTTTTTACTTCCCCACTGCAGGGACTCAGGCCTTCTTTATGGATGGTTAAGGATAGGCCTAGTGGTGTAACTACAGGATGGCAAGTCGGCAAAATGCCACGGGCCCCCAGCTGGAAGGGGCCCCCGGTCAGAGGAGACTCCGTACTCCTTACATTTATTATAACGCAATTAGTAAAAAAAAATTAATATCCGATGAATTTGCTACGGGCCTCAAACGGTATAGTTACGCAACTAGTTAAGCCGTAACCCTTCACGCTGACCGAATGCGGATTGGAGGGTATTAACGACTGCAAATGCAGCTGGGACCAACGGCTTAACGTGTCTTCCGAAGATCTTTTTTTATCACCTTCCTGTGTCCGACCTCTGCGAAAATTGCTTAACAACAAAGATCGCGGGCCGCAGCGCTTATCCACTACGCTACCGAGCTACATATCAGAACTGCACAAACATATTGTTACGATGCGCAGCGGCGTTTTCGTCTGCTCGTTACTAGATGGCGTTATGCGCCGCTGACTCGCGTTAACACTGTCAAAACGTACGAGAGTCATAAAGGTGACTTACACTACTTATACTTCTTTTTTTCTTTTTTTAATGGTTTATCTGGGCGTTTCGTACAATTCTGCTAATATCAAGTAATTATATTTGACACTTTTCTGAAAACTATTTTAAAAGGTTGTTTGATACTACTTAAACACACTAGAGCTAGACACGCTGTCAGTCAATATATTTCATGAGAATCTGTTCTATTATCGATGAAAATAATTGTTAAAGTTTAAATATCAAAAACCACTGCTCTATGTGTGAAGTGAGAGAATTAGCGTGAATTTAGTGAAGTCGAAAAAGCATTCATTTTTATAGTATTTATGGATACTCTTCGTACCTATATTCCGAAACGAAGCGAGCATCAAAGGTTTGTTTTTCTTTGAAAAATCTATCGACAACCGTATTGACACGTTTTCTGTTATAGGCACTATTATAGTAAGACGTATAGGTAAAATATGATATAATAACCAAAATATTCTACAATAAAATGAGTGTATATTAGTAGTACTATTTTAATACGTTTATTTACCATCTATTATGCCAATCCATCTGACAACGCCGTAATAGTGTTGATCAACATCGGTAGCTACTTCCACTAGTGATCCGACACCGATGTCTTCTTGCAAGTCTATTGGAGATCTCGAGACTGGCGCCGTTCGCGGAGAACCAGGTGGGGGTTGATCATATATTTCGTCCGGTGGATCTCCACTACACACATCTGTGTCATAAACACAATAAAATGTTTTGGATGAAGACGTTTTATTATTAAGATTTACTCAACGTTATATTTATAATAGACGCACTTTGTTGCAATTGCAATACACATAAAGGTATCTCATCAATATCTACATCTTCTAAATAGCCACACGATATCATGATGAAGATGTCTGTGCATTTGAATCAGCCGGTCGGTCACCCGCCGCGCTATATACTGTCTAAATTTAGAAAGTAGGGAAATCTATAATCGGCAACCTATGAACGCGTGTAACTCACTGAATGTAGTGGGAAAACTTCAATTTGTATTGTTTCAAAATAAATAAATGATAAGAGATTAAAAGAACAAGTTAATGAAAGTAAAAGTGTGATAAAAAGTAACCGTAGTATTGGAAAGGGTGAAAAATGGTAAAACAGTATATATTATTATTTATTCCCACAACTAACTTTGATACTATATTATTATATTTGACCAATTTTTGCAATGATAATGCTATATTTATTAATATTTTTAAGCATTTTTCATTAAAAATATTTGTTACTACATTTTAACAATCGCATTTTAAGGGAATTCTTAATTTTTATAAATATTTTTAAATAATAAAATATAAAACCTTTAATTTTATATCTAATACTTTTAAAATCCGCCGTATATAAATTTAATTTTATATTATCGAGGAAGGTCGTCACAATACTTACAATACAATACTTTTCGCATGATAGATGAGTAGTGGGTTGAATACTTTTTATTTTACATGTAGATACACCTAGCAGCAAGTCAGATTACTACATCGTGTCAAATTTTGGCAATCGATTTTCAACTCTATCATCAACGCCTTAAGGTTTTAAATAAAATCGAGAAATTTGATAGTCATAGAACATGACGTGCTGTTAACTGTACAGGGACATTTTAATAATATTACGCTATAAGTACCTAAGTATAATAAAGAAATTCTAGCAAGTAGTAGTATGCTTAAGATTATGCACATTTTTGAAACTGAACTGAAAAAGGATCGCTCAGTCCAGATGCATGTTCTTCCAGGAAGGGTCTCTTTATTCGGATGCTGATTTCAAGGTGGCGCCATCAGTAAGATCTCGGGTAAAATTCCCCGTCGGATCACAATAAAAAATGTACTTTTCTATATCGTTTCGGTTCTGGGTGTTGTGGTACCATTTGTTGTTCCAGATTTCAGATTTCGGTAATGCAAGTGCTTTAGTTACTTAATTTGGGATCTGAGCATAGTACGTGATATTGTCTAATAACTACATATTATTAAAAAATCTGCTTTCCGACGTCAACTTACCAATAAGTATACCTGTCTCAACTTTCTTTGTGTCTTGAACCATTTTATTTTTCTGTTTCAAATCTTCAGCAACCACAGGCAAGGCTCTGGTAGAAGTTGACTGTCTCTGTCGTCTTCGTTCAGGTGCTAGATGAGCCAAAAGGTTGACAGACTTTACACGTTCATGTTGCGAAGAACGCTGCATAGTGCGACCAAAATTCCGAGACACTGACCCATACTCGGGACACTCAAGCTCCCGGGGTGCTGGAGGCCAGCTACCTCCAATGAGATTAAATAGGTCTATCTACAATATGAAATTATATAATGATTTATAGTACTTATTCGTAAAGACTCTCGAAGACGTTTTGTCTACATCCAAATGTTATTTTTCTTAAGTATAATTATTCGCCCATAAATTATGTCATTCCGATCTGTGTCCCGCGTCTCTCGAGATTATTTTGCATGCTTCATCCGTCACTTTCCTTCCACCAATTGTGAACATCAAAGTAGCAGGCACACCAACAAGTTTGAGAGTCTTATGTATGTCAATAAATTTCCTAAAAATTATTACTAAGGAATTATCCTATTCCGATTTTGACATTAAATCATGATTAGACAGAAGCTGATCTTTTTATAGTACACTATTGCTTTTTGCAGGTTCGCTTCAAAACCAATTTGAACATGTTCAGAATATAAGAAGTCGATCGAAAGCTCTTAGTTTCATGAATACTCTAGTCCAAAAACTATCTTTATGTTCTTATACAACGTGTAACATAATTAACGCACATCCTGAAAGTAGTTTTTTGTTAAATCAGATACTGATTCAATTACAACAACTTCTAATATAGGTAATTTTTTTGCTAAATTTAATTGGAATCAAGTAAATTATGGTCACCAGTAACCATTATAGCCGTCACAAACAAAAATAAACTTAAGTGAATGTAATAAGGGTTTTTAAAATGTACTATATTCTTAGCTTGTGATAAAATACAACATAGGAAAAGAAACAAACAAATGAGCTTTCTTTTAATGTGTCTTGAGTCGTGAGTCAAGGAGTCTAAAATGCTCTTAAAAGCTATGATGTACAAGTTCATAAAAAAACAATATAGTTCAAATAAACATGACAAATGTGATAAACATGACAGATTATCACGTTATTTTACATATTATTATTATTTTTTTTTCTATTAATAAAAGAAGAAGAAGAAGTATATTTTTTCAATTTGATAATAAATTGCTTTATCGCATTAAACTTGAGGAGTGGGGAATATTTTGAGGATAAATCTTACTTAAGTAATAATATGTATACATATACTTAAAAAAATATGAATTTTAATTTAGTTGTAGTGATACGTTTTCTTCTTACTGTAGTGCTAAAATCCTTGTTTATATTTAAAATTATTGATATTAGTTTGTTTTTCAGGTATTACTTTATTTTCATTTTTAAAATATTCTTGTATATTTTTTGTTTTATCAATTATTATTTTTATCGTCAACTATGGGTATCAGCAATTCACACCAACCGTTGTTCACTGACAAGTAGCAGTTCTTTAAATGAGAAATGTCTTGAGCAATTGTTTCTTTGATTCATAATACATATCTCCTTAATGGTGCACGTGAAAGGTTACGAAAAACGAGGCATAGTTTCCGCAGATAATAATTAAGACGAGTTTTGGTAATCTATCGCACTAACATTAACAAAATTCAAAGAGCCCAAAATGATATCCTTTTCTGATTTTGAAACTGATTTTCAACGATAACTCAGAAGTGCATTAACTATTTAATAAAACCATCAAGAAAGAAATTGCCGAGATGATCCTAAAGAAATCCAAATACACTAACTATACAACTGACGATGCCGGAAAGTGGCAACGATCTGAAGAGACGCAAAACATCAGATATGGAAAACACAGCGTAGTCTGTCATGAGAATAAGAGGGATGCTGGGGCTCCATTCTCTGAACGTCAATTTCATGAACAAAGCTGCTCATAAGCAAGTAGACTAATCGTATGATAATAAACTAAGGAAAATAGTAGCACTGTCGATGAAGAAAATTAAAAGCAGTCACAAGCCTTGACGGTCCATTCAAAACAAATAAATAAATGTTAAGTTGACATGGTTTGGTGAAACTGGCACATAATATAACAGTAGTAGATTTCTACTACATACATAGTGATCAAAGGAAACTGTTATAGCCGAATTAAGACAGGCTGAAAATATAGCTTGAATTCTATATTTTTAAATAGAAACTACTAACACCTGACATAGAAACATTCATGCTCAATTTTAGAGCTCTAAAATCATACTAATAATAAAAATTTGATAAAGTTTTATATTAATCATATTTGATCAATTTTGCATTCACAATCCTATAATTATGTAAATATTCTTAATGAAAAATGCTTAAAAATCCACTTTGTCCCTGGTACTCTGAGATAGGATTAAGAGAAAAAAAGGTTTATATTTTTCCCTGACTTCACGATTGACCTAAAATTTATCCCAGACTTCATGCTTGACCTAAATTTTTTTCCTGACTTTACCTGAACATCCTTCCCTGACTTTCCAGAAAGTGGGCACCCTGGTAATTTTAACAATAAGGAAGAAATCTCTTGATTTATAGGTATCACGAGAGTCCCAATTTTAGTCACAATGGTTTTGTGTATTTATTAGCTTCAAATTCATACTCGTGTGTTTGTTATTACTGTTAATTTAAGCGTAGAGAAATATCTTGAATTCTATTGAAGTGAGAACTGAAAGTTCATGGTATAGAAGTCACTAATTAGTCACAATTTTTAGACATGTCATTCAAACTAATACAAATCTTATCACTAGTGTACCTGCTACCTAGACGTCTAGTTAGCACAAACACAATAAGATCTTCCAAGTTTTCAGAATATACAGTGTCACTAATTATATGTTACAATTTACAATTTAGTTACTAGTCACTAGTATCACTATTTAGTTACAATTTATTGACATACCGTCAAACTCGTTTGTGCCTGTTACCTTGACGTTCACCACCAATTAGACTTAATTAAAATATTAATCTGAAATCACTCAAAGCAAAAGGTCGCTCACACACTCACTCATCCCGCAATCTCAGAAACTACAAGTACTCATTAAGACGGGGTTATATGAAATTCAACCCCTAACGGGGTAATTTAGGGGATGAAAGTTTGTATGAAACTTACAATTAGTTTCTTTTTAGGACGTCTAAGACGGGATATTACGAAATTCGACCCCGAAGGAGGTAAATTAGGGGAAGAAAGTATTTATGAAATTTTCTCATTTCTGGAATTAAAACAAGATCACGCGGGCGAAGCCGCGGGCGGAAGGCTAGTCAGTTTATATAACTTTAAAAAGGGAAAAGTGTTTTATATTACTATTCCCCTATTTCAAAGGTGATGAAAACATATTGACTATATATTTAACTTCATAATATATTGTTCCTGAAGTAATAAAAATAGGAAGAAAATAGAAGTATTTAAAAATATGCTTTTCTTATAATCATCCAAAGAAGCAATTAAGAAATAGTAAGAGAGTAGACTAGGAAGATATTGTCTGTGTAAAGGTTAAAAGAGGCTTACTCCATTGGTTAGAAAATGGGGTAAGAATGCCAGATCAAGTAATGAATCCCAAGGAAGTAAAAGCCATATACAAGGATCATTTCTTTGGCGCTCCAGTTTCTCTATCTTGTCCTACTAATCAGTCAGTCAGATCAGTTTTTTGTAGAAAATAATTTAGGTTTCACATTTAGATTTACTTACAAGGATAACATAGTTTTTGTTTCACATTTTTCACCAAATAAACAGATTATATGATAAATAAACAAATTAATTAAATATAGCAATATTCATTTAAAGTAATTATTTGGATAATTATTTATTTTCAGAGAATTATTATGGATATAATACAATAAAAGAAGAGGTTAGATGC